CGCTTTCTTCGTGGCTCTACAAGGATCTTCCTCTGCAATGAGAAGAAATGTAGAGGGACTCATGAGAGGGAAAACAGAAAAGGAATCTTACAGGTACCTAAGTGAGGTATGGACTTTGTCCAAACTGGGTGCCAAAAGGTGACTCAGAACAGTGAGGTATGACACCACCCAGAGGACCGTGTGCTTAATATAGTATACAGGCGATGACCACTGTTACTACTAATACTTGTAAAGAAGCTACCCTTGCCTGGTGCTTCACACATGTGAAGACAAGGGTGCTGTTTGCTTCCTTTAGAAGATGAGGAATCTGAGGCTTATACCTTACATAATTTGCCAATGATAACATGATAATGATTCATTTACTACTAGCAAGAGGTAAAGCTGGGTCTGAACCACAGCCATGGAATCTGCCATTCCAGTTTTCCTCACCAGCCACACTATCTTGGTTTACTATATGACACAGCATGGAGATTAGATATGAAAGGAGATGGGGCCAGTGTGGTGGTGCACGCTTATAATCCTAGTGGCTCAGGAGGCTGAGGCAGGAGGATAGCGAATTCAAAGCCAGCCTCAGCAAAAGTGAGGCACTAAGCAACTTAGAGAGACCCTGTCTCTAAATAAAATACAAAATAGGGCTAGGGATGTGGCTCAGTGGTCAAGTGCCCCCGAGTTCAATCCCTGGTACCAAAAAAAAGGGGTTTAAGTGAAAAGTATGTTTCTATTTTTTATATTAAAGCAATCAGAACAAACAACTTATGAAATCATTCTTAAATTTTTAATTAAAATCCATACAGCATTTAACATGTATAGCAACTCTTTCAGTGAATCTTATATTTTAAAATCCCTTTGCACAGAATTTTGAGGCTAACTTCATGCTAGAAATTTACAAATGTACAACTTAACAACACAAAAATACATTCGGAATCCATTCCAATGCAAGTTAAAAACACTTTAATTGGCAGACAATGTAAAGATATTTAAAAAACAAAAACTACAAAATGAGCACATAAAAGTCTTCCCTTTTGAATTTTTAATAAAATACTGCTCTGTATAAGATCTAATGAAAAATTCCAGTTACTTATAAAATAGTTATATGAGAAAAGAAATGAATTAAAATTTTATGTATGTGTATGAATCATACTTAATTATGTTGTTTAAATGAACAAAATATTGAATACATTAATGACACAGCACACCACGTATTATTCATACATCAAAATAGTTGAAAACACTCAAGCAATTTGATGCAGGCAACAGGAAATAAAAAATAAAATAAATAAAATCCAAAAAATACAAACACTAAACACCCCTTAACTGTAAGGGAAAGAAAGAAATGAAAGAACTTAAATCAAACTGTGGACCAAATTCTCACTTCTATCATTTCATGAGAAACAGTGTGAGAATTTGGTTTCAAATTACTAAAATAGCTACAGAAACTTACTTACTTGGCCTGGAAAACTTAATAGTATACTAGCTGCTGAAATAATCAATAGTCATGGTGTACTGTGGGAAAGAATAATTTTTACAGGTTGAACTACATAAAAAAACATATCTATTGGAAACCACAGTCTCCCTGACAAATTGCACTTGAGATGGCTGAATGCATTGATTGAGCAAGGCATTATTATTGGTTCACAGGGACACGGACACGGACACGGACACACACACTCACACACAGAGACACACAAATACAAAAGCAGCTGTGGATTGCTGACATTCTTGACTACCAGAACTATTTTCTACATTTTATCCCCCTCTTTTTAAAAGAAGGATCTGATGTCTGTTAACTCAGTGAGCTAGCAGTGAAACTTGGGGCCATCTGTGTGATCTGTCCTGTTGCTGGAAACCTGGTCTGTTCCAACCATTTCCTATTGCGTCCTGGCAGGAGGAGGACAGTGATGAAATTATGAATTAAGTCAGTGTGAAAAATATGCACTTTTAGAATTTTAAGCTTTATTCTGACGATCAAAGGGAGTGCCTGCAGAAATGACTGCTTCACTGACAAAGCTTAGAGAATGTATGTACACAAGGCATTATTTACTATCTGTAGAAAAAGAACAATGAACTTCTGTGGTTGATTTCTTTTTAAAGACAGAGAATGTCTTTCACAGTAATTATTCTCTCTAATTAATTAATAATCTCCTACAGTAAAAATATGACTTGGAACCAAGATAGTACAAAGAAACAGAGCCCCCCTTGAAATCTAAGAAGCCTGGTTACTTTTTAAAAAGATGCTTTGAATAGTGGGAAGAAGCATGAAAGAACTAACTTCAGTGGAGATCTGCACACCTCTATCCATCTCATGGAAGGTAAAAATCAGATGACCAGTATAAAAAATTAATGGTTTGTTAATATAAATAGATGATTAAAAAAGGAATGCATAAAAATACCCCATAACTTGACCCCAATTCCTTGAGCTAGAAAACACACTGATGGATGTCTATCTACAGTTTCCCTCTGACTGCCTCCTTCCCTTAAAACTAAGAATGCAGATTGGTCTAAAACCAGAGTGAACACCTGATCACAGCAAATAAAATAAAAAAACTTGCATCGATGGTTCTTTATCCCTTCCATCATTAGGGAAAAAAAAATCTCTTAATCTTCCCTACTTACCTGTTTAAAAAGCAAGCAAAATCTCAATTAGAAACTAAGATTTAATACAGGTAAATATAATTTTTCATGCAACTGAATCTTGGACATTAAAGACTTAAATATACATGATATTAAATCAATTAATACACTTTATCTGTCAAAGTATGAAAACAAGGTAACGACTAGGTGATGCAAGAAATTGTGAACAGGAGGAGTGAGACTGAAGAATCAACCTTCAGTATTCACTTAACTTGCTAAAAAAAGAATTGTTAAACAAGGACATTTAGAAATAATATTTCAGTGAAGAGAGAAAAGATTTAAATAGATTAAAATCCTCTAGTTATGTGGAAACATGAAGTAATCTGGGGAGTCTGTCCCTTCTGTGCCCTACATAGTCCACCATTTCCACAAAAAGTCCAATAGTTTAATGAGCATTTAATTTGGGAGTGATTTTGGTCCATCCCATCCCAAAGAGAAAAATCTTGTTTCTCAAAGTCTAGTCGTTTTTCAGATGCACTAGACCCATCAGACATGACTATCAATGGATCCTGTCCATTGATGTCTAACGACCATCATGCTATAAAGATGGACTCTGCCACATCTTTCACTGGAATAGGTGTACAAGGGAAAAAGGATAGAGAATGCCTGACCACTGTCCAGCCATTATAGAGCTCTCTCCCATTTCTCTTCAGTCTTGACCTTTAGAAAAATATGTTTAAAAAAGTACTTTTACTGATTATTCACAATGAGCTTGCTGGACTCAAACATGGCATAAGTGCCCCCTGGGGTTCAATGGCACTATGTTTACTAAAATTTCTCTTGGGAGTTTTCAGATGGTCTGTGCTCCCTCCTCTGTGTTTCATACAGATGTAGGCCACATACTGTTGATAGAACTGCTACACAGGAGTGATGAGTGAGGCAGTTCTTGAATGCTGGAGTTTGTACAGTTTGGTGAGGTGACAAATATTACACTTAAAAGTAGAAAGAGGTCAACCTAATATTATTGTCACAATATAACTTTTCCCTTGTACCCCCATAATAAATGTCTCATTTTAAAGCAAAGAGAGAATTTTTGAGGCCATAAAGATAAACATTGAGAACTACTTGAGCCTCATCACTTAACACCTATTACAGATAGAGACAAGGAAATGATGGGAACTGTGGACAAACATCGGAGCCTAGGAAAATGACAGAGAAGAATCACAGAAACTCATATGACCATAATACATGACAGATACAGACCATTTATCTCTATACTAAAGGCACTACTAATATACAAATATCCGGCTAACATTTAGAGACACTCTGAAATCAGCCATTAGAAAAAAGGAATTCATTTAGTTCAATATCAGCATTTTAAAAAAACAGACGACTTTGACACTCATGGCAGAGTTTTCAATGAGCTAAATGAAATCAGATATGATAATAAGCAGCTCTGTATAAAGACTGTGGCTCCCACTTTTAAAAAAGTACGATAACTTTCTTCCTTAAAAATATAAGCATATCACAAAAACTAAAAGATAAATATATATATATATATATGTGTGTGTGTGTGTGTGTGTGTGTGTGTATAGGGAGATACAAACCCAGGCCCTGGTACCACTGAGAAATTTTCATAAATTCTAAATCATTTCAATGGTTTGAACAACACACATCCACACGTGACATGCAAAGACAGAATGCCAGTGTCACTGACCAGCTGAGCATACAGCTCAAGGGTAGAACTAGAATGAGTAAAGAGCACACATCACAAACTGCCAATGGTGTCTGTACCACAGCGCACCTTGGAATTGAAAGCTAGAATTCCATCAGTTCCAGGAACAACAACGAGCTCTCATACATGTTAAGTAAGCAAATAAAAAGCTATAGGAAAGAACAACACAATTTAACAACATGATTAATATTTTTGTACTTTGTTCTATTAGAAGAGTAATTTGTAATCATTGTACCCTGTGGATTTAGAAATTTAATTTTATTAGAAATTACTAATGCTGGTTCTTGAATAATCTAAAAAATTCTAATTACTCAAATTTAAATTGCTATTTATAGTTCTAAGCAGATGGATGAAATATTCTGATTAGTACTCTATAGTTGCTTTGGTACAAAATTTAGAATAAAGCAAAACTGGCAGCACCACAACCAGTGTGATTACTTCACAGCAGGTCTAAAGGACCCTCAGAGATAAGAGCACATAAATACAATACACATAGTAAGAGCCATTCTCTTGATAATTTTGTTACATCATTAAAAAGAGAAATAAAATCCACATCCAGAAAATTATATTTTAGGCCCAATTTTCATGCTTCATTTAATTATCCCTCAATGATAGTGTAAAAGATGTTTACTATTATTGCTAATATGATGTCTACTTCATAGTTCAAGGAAGCTTCTAATGAGGCCAATGGTTAGAGTGGTACATTTTAACGCTTAGCCCACTGAAATTCATTTTAACAAAAGGTTTAATTTAGTATTTTTTCTTTTTACAACTTTATTGAGGTATAATTGACGTACAACAAACTGCACATATTTAAAGTGCACAATTTGATATATAGTCTTTTAAATAGCATGAAAAGTGCCTGACGACTTAAAAATTAAAAATATTCAAACATATTATTTTAAAATAGTACATTTATGAGATATGGATTTATAAAAAGGTGATGGAAATAAAAGAAATTATTTTAATTCCCAAGTACCAAATTTATTCAGAAGGTTTAGAAATTCCAAAATTGACAGCCAGTTTTCTTGATTTTCTTCTAGAAGAAGAGCTTGGTGTTGACTTCTGGTGAGACGTATTGTGGCCTTGGGAGGCAGTTTCAACTTGAAAAGAAGATGCAGGTTGAGCAAGCTGAGAGGACTTTAAAGGGCCTGATGAGCTTTCCTGTGGAATCACTCTGGTGTCATCAGAAGAGCTGGGCTTGCTAGTCTGAAGTGGGGTGGCTTGAGAAGAACTCTGGGCCTCCTTATTCTCAAAGTTCTTTTTGTTTGCAACCCTTTTTTTGGTAACCTTTAAGGAATAAAAGCATTATTAACCAGTAGTGTAGGAGAAAAAAAAAACTATTCAAGAAATATTATAAACCATGCTGCTAATATTTGTCAATCACTGCTGATTTGTGACATTTACTTATAATTTCCAAATCAGACCTTAATAATTTTTTATATATACTTTTAAATTTTTTTAGTTATACATGGGCACAATATCTTTATTTTGTTTATTTATCTTCATGTGGTCCTGAGGATCGAACCCAGTGCCTCACATGTGCGTGGCAAATGCTCTGCTACTGAGCCACAACCCCAGCCCCAGACTTTAATAATTTGAAAAACTCAGTTGCAAGAAAATATTAAAACATCTTCCATAACTAAAATTTTAAAAAGTTATATTTCTTATTTTCAATCACTTTGTATTAGCATACTGTATTATTACTTGCTATAATCATTACTATTTTTAGAACACAAACTGAGCAGGGACCAGGTTAGATGCGTCACTACATTTTCAGTTCCTAGACCAGTACTAAATTTCTTTTCTTCTCTTTTCTTTTTCTTCTGAAAAAAAAAATGTGGATGTCTCCTTAATTTTTTTAAATTTTTCCCCTATTTTTTATTGCTGCATCATAATTATTATACATAATGGTGGGATTCATTGTTACATATTTGTACATGCACAGGAGGAAACAATAATTTGGCCAATATCATTCCCCAGTACTTCCCCTTTTTCTCCCACACTGGTCCCCTTCCTGAACTCTGCTGAGTTCCCTTTGCTTTTCAGATAACAACTCCTCCTTCACAATGCAATCTTAATATGTTGTTGAATGTAATTTGCTAATATTTTATTAAGGAGTTTTGCATTTAGATTCATCAGGAATGTTGGTCCCTCTTGTGTTGTTATCAGGGTGATACTGGTTTTTCACAGAATGAATTTAGAAGTATTCCACCCTTTTCTATTTCATGGAATACACTGTGGAGCATTGGCATTAGTTCTTCTTTAAAGGTCTATTTTAGGGGCTGGGGTTGTGGCTCAGCGGTAGGATGCTCACCTAGCATGTGCGAGGCTCTGGGTTCGATCCTCAGCACCATATAAAAAATAAGTAAGTAAATAAAGGTATTGTGTTAACCACAACTAAAAAAAAAAAAAAAAAAATATATATATATATATATATATAAAGGTCTATTTTAGTCACCTTTTTTACTGCTGTGATCAAAAGACCTGACAAGAACAATTTTAGAGGAGGAAAAGATTATTTGGTGCTCACAGTTTCAGAGGTCTCAGTTCACAGGTGGCTGATTCTGTTGTTCTGGGCCTAAGATAAGGCAGAGCACCATGGCAGAAGGGTGTGGAGGAGGAAAACAGCAAGTGATGGGGTTGGCGGAGGACGTTGAGTATTCTGCTCACCAGGGACAAAATATAAACCCCAAAAGCAACCCCCGCCTCCATGATCTATCTCCTCCAGCCACATCCTACCTGTCTACATTTAGTGCTCAGTTAATCCCTGAGTGGATTAACGCACTGATGAGATTTGGCCCCTCATAAACTCAGTCAATTCACTTCTGAATTTTCTTGCATTGTGTCACATATGAGCTTTCACAGGACACCTCATATCTAAACCATAATAAGGTCTGATAGAATTCAGCTGAAAATCCAGCTAGTCCTGGGCTTTTCTTTGTTGAAATTCTCTTAATGACTGCTTCTATCTCATTGCTTGTTCCTGGTCTATTTGGGTTTTCTCTGTCCTCTTCACTCAATTTGGCAGAGAATATGTATCTAGGAATATATCCAATTCTTCTAGATTTTCTAATATATTGGGATATAAATTTTCAAAATAATCCCTAATGATCCTCTGGATTTCTGTGATGTGTGTGATGATTTTTTTTCCTTATGCATCTCTAATGTTATGAATTTGGGTCTTATCTTTTTCTTTTGGTTAATTTGGCTAAAGGTTTATTCATCCTGTATATCTTTTAAAATAACTGACTCTTTGTTTTCACTGATCCTTTGTAGGCACTAATGGATATAAACTTTCCTCTTAGAACCACTCTCATAGTGTCCCAGAGGTTCTGGTATGTTATATCACTATTCTTGTTTGAGTCTAAGAATTTAAAAATTTATCTTAATTTCTTCTATTATCCATTCATCATTCAAAATTGTATTGTTCAATCTTCATGAGTTTATACAATTTCTGTAGTTTTGTTTTTGGTGTTGAGTCCTAATTTTATTTCATTTTGATCAGATAAGATTCAAAGAATTGTACTGTTCTTCTTGTATTTGTTGAGATTTGTTTTGTGGCCTAAAATATGGCCTATTTTGAAGAAAGTTCTATAAGCAGCTGAGAAGAAAGTAAATGCTGTTGTATGGAACATTCTATACATTTCCGTTAATTCCATTTGATTTATAATATATTTTAGATCTGAAGGGTCTTTACTGATATTTTGTCTGGACATTCTATCTACTCATGAGAGAAGTGTGTTGAAATTACCCAATATTATTATACTAGGGTCCCAGACAAGTAGTGTCTGTTTTATGTACTTAGGAACACCGATGTTTGGGGAATAAATATTTACTGTTGTATCTTCTTGTTGGATTGTTCCCTTTGCCAGTATAAAGTGACCTTCTTTGTCTCTTCTGATTATTTTTAGCTTGTAGTCTACTTTGTCAGATATGAGAGTAGCTATTCCTGCGTGTTTCAGGGCTCCATTTGCATGCTATACCAATTTTCCTCATTTCAATTTCAGCCTGTGGGGCTATCTTTGTCTATAAGGTAAGTCTTTTGAAAACAACATATAGTTGGGTCTTGTTTTTTTTTTTTTTTTGTGTGTGTGCATTTCCTTTTTTAATTTTCTTTGTACTGAGGTTTGAACCCAGGGATGCTTTACCACTGAGCTACCTCCCCAGTTCTTTTTTATTTTGAGACAGTGTCTTATTGTTCCTTAGGGCCTAAGTTACCCAGGCTGGCCTCAAACTTGAGATCCTCCCGCCTCAGCCTTCCAAGTCACTGGAATTATAGGTATGTACCACTATACCTGGTTGTGGATCTTGTTTTAAAATGTATTCTGCTAGCCTGTGTGTTTTAATTGGAGAGTTGAGCCCATTTACACCCTATGTTATTATAGAGATTTTTATTCCTGCCACTTTTTTTCTAATTTGACTCTATTTCTCATTTGCTTAGCTATTCTTCAAATGAAATCTGCCCACTTGTAAGCTTTAGGGTTTGTTCTTGAGTTCTTCAGTATATGGTAGTTAAGTATTTCCTGTAGTGCTGGCTTAGTAGTAATGTATTCTTTTAGTGCCTTCTTATCTTGGAAGGTTTTTATTTCTCCTTTGATTTTGAAGGATAACTTTGTTAGATTTAGTAATCTTGGTTGAGTTATTTTCTCTCAGGGCTTAGAACACATTATTCCAAACCTTCCTGGAGTCTAGAGTTTGTGCTAAGAAATCAGATTAATTCTGATTGATTGGCTTGCCTCTAAATATAACCTGATGTTTTTATCTTAAGGTTTAAAAAATTATATTCTGGTTATGTATGTTAGGCATTTTAATTATAATGCGTTGTGAAGAGTTTCTTTCTTTTATTTATTTTTTTGCTGAAAAACTCAGGGGCACTCAACCACTGACAACATCCCCAACCCTATTTTGTATTTTATTTAGAGACAGGGTCTCACTGAATTGCTTAGCACCTCACTAAATTGCTGAGGTTGGCTTTGAATTCGCAACTCTCCTGTCTCAGCCTCCTAAACTGCTGGGATTACAGGTGTGTACCACTGTGCCTGGCAAGAGTTTCTTTTTTGATTTTGTCTATTTAGGGTTCTGAATATCTCTTATATCTGGATGTCCATCTCATTCTCAAGGTTTGGAAACTTTTATTATTTCCCTGAAGAGGTTATTCATTTCATTAGCATGCATCTCACAATCCTCTCTAATTCCAATGATTCTCAAATCTGGTCTCTTAATGTTGTCTAAGAGGTCTATTATATTCTGATCATGGTTACTTCTTTTCTTTAATATGTCTGTTCAAGGCTGGTTACTTCATCTCCAAACTCTGAAATTCTATCTTTAGTGTGGTCTACTCTATTAGAGAGACTTTCAACTGAACTTTTTAATTTATTTATTCTGTTTTTCATTTTCTAGATTTGTTTGGTTATTCTTCAATAACTTTATCTCCTTACTGAATTTCTCATTCCTCTTCTGTACTGACCTCCTTAATTCATTCAGTTGTTCTTCTTTGTTCTTTTGGAATTCATTGATCACCATTCTTTTGAATTCTTTATCTGATATTTTATCCATTTCAATATCTTTGGAGTCAGTTGCTGGTGAATCATAAACTTTAGAAGGCATTGTGTTACTTTATTTTTTCACATTTCTTGTATTCATGTATTAGGTTTTATGCATATATTGGGAAAGATTTTTCTTCCATTTACATGTGGACATTTTTACAGAACAGCCTTTTATTGCCAGAGTAGGTCTGGGATAAGTGATTTTTTTCCCCCAATATATTTTCAAGCAGGATTTCTAGTATAGTTTCCCTGCTAGTTCTTTAGTGATTTAGTGTATTTTGACAGAGTGTATATTGTGTCAGAGCTCGAGGATTCCACTTTCCCTCTAAGTCTCAAAGGACTGGGATCCTTTTTATGGGTCTGGCAATTGTAATATATACAGCAGAGCATGTAGGTATATCTTCTTGTGACAGCTCTTTTTCACTTAATAACTCTTTATTCTAAAGGAGTATGGCAGTGATCTAGATTGAGACCCCTCATAGGTGTGGTGTCCACAATCTTTTTGTTAATTCTCTGTGTTTTTGCTATAGGAGTAGCTGTCCATGGGTGGTCCTGAGGGCCTCCAGTAGCCATTCTTACTTGGGGCCTGGTTGTTCATTTGGATTTTTTGTCTCTTCTTTGTATCAAAGTCTGAGCAAGGTACACTGTTCTCTTGGCTGGATATCTCAGCAGCAGAGTCTGCACCCTGTGAACTTTTAGTTCATAGCACCTCACAGAGAAGGGGAAACAACCAACATCAACAACAGAAGCAAACAATATATAACACTAAAATACCCAGTTCCTACTATGACATTTATAACACTAATTATCACAAAAACAAGAATGGTGGGGTCAGCAATTGCCAAGAGCAAAAATGATAAGTAGTTGTGAACTAGATCTGGCATTAAATAGCAGTTGTCAATTATGCCATACATAGTATTAACAACTGTAACAACATGAATGGTAGAGGCATTAGCCAAATAGATCCAGAGATGGTAAAAATGCAGTTATTTAAGAGAAAAGAGATGTAACAGGATGGTACCTATAATTCCAGCGACTGAGGCAGAATTACAAGTTCAAGGCTAGCTTCAGCAACTGAGTGAGGCCCTAAGGGAGACCCTGTCTCAGAATTAAAAACATATGAATGGCTTGGGATGTGGCTCATGGGTTAAGTACCTCTGAGTTCAATACCCAGTACCTGCCCCCCCTGCAAAAAAAAAAAAGGTTTAGAATTGTCAAAGTGTGAACAGAGAGAAAGCAGGAGATGTAGCAAGTGATGGCTATTGAGAAGAAGGAGGGAAAAAAAAGCAGCAAAAGTAAAAAGAGAATAAGAGAATTTGGCTATTAGTGAAGAGAAGAGAAAAAATAAAAACAAATAAAAACAGAATGAAGGGGCTGGGGTTGTGGCTCAGCAGTAGAGTGCTCACCTAGTATGTGCAAGGTGCTGGGTTTGATCCTCAGCACCACATAAAAATAAATAAATAAAATACAGGTACTGTGTCCAACAACTAACAAAACAGAATGAAAATAAACAAAATTCCCTTCTGAGAGATAAGACAAAGAAAAATAATCACAAAAATGCTAAAAATGAAACAAAATAAGCAAATATTCATATATATATATCCACAAACCAATCAGCATAGCAAGAACACGGAAAAAGTAAATTTACTGATCTTATTACCACTGAGGAAAAAGGAGGGGGCTGAGCTCCAGAGTCAGAGATGCAATGAGAGGCAGAGGACCCAACCCACACCTCTCCAGTCAGGACTTTGCCCCTCCTCTCCTTAGTGTACAGACAGTTACATCCTCTTGTGTCACCACACCTGGGCAGACTTAACAACCCATTTGTCTAGCAACTTTCACCCTCTCCAATGTCTGGGTTGGGGAGGTCCCTGCAGATCAATTTTCAAGTCAAGAACAGAAATTGTTAGTGAAGAGGGATGTGCTGACCCGAGAGGCTTCTCACCCATCCTACAAAAGGCAGTATGATACATAGCAAAAAAAAAAAAACCCCAAAACAAACAACAACAAAAACAAAAACAAAAACAATCGATTGCTTAGAAGACAGGGTCAAGGGAGGCAGCCAGGCAGACAGCATTATACCAGGGAAAGCGGATGGGAGAGTCTATCAAGGAATCCCCCTTCCCCCAGAAAATCAGGCAAAGGAAAAAAATTCTTAATGAAAAATAAAGGAATCACCTCCACTAAGGTGGTCAAAACTGTTGATGAGGATGATCAATGCATATGCCTCACTTCCTGTTTCTTCCTGAGCTTTGTACCCCTTAGAGCAAGGGCTGGGGGTTGTTAACCCCTTCCTCTTTTTGTTTTGCTCACAGAGCTGCTAGCTACAAAGGCCTAAATTGAAGTTGGCTGAAATAGTTCTCAACTTCCCGTCTCACCATTATAAGAAGTACTGTTAACTGGAGCTCTATTCAGACAGAGAAGGTATGCATTCCCAGATGGGGCTGCTGCAGAGTTCTAAGAGGGAAGTTCCAGTGGCTGCGACTTATCTCTAATCAAGCCTTTGGGACTTTGTTGGGTGGTATCTGTTCTGGAGAGATTTATTCAACACACTTCTAGGACTGGGCAAATGCAATCTCTGTTGGGAGTCCAGATCTCAGAAGCCTCCTGAGAATTTTACTTGTAGAGTGGGGGAGCCAACCCTCCACAAGTCTCACACACTCCACTGTCCATGAATACAGCTTTCTCAGTCTCAGTTCCCAAGTATAATCACACCAACTGTTCCAATTTCCCAGCCCTCTGCAGCTGGTCATGTGAGCTGCCAGACTCAAAGGGAAAGGGAATTGCACTCCTCTCCATATCCTTGACTTGAATTACCCTGGGCACAATCTCCTTTGTGCTTGTTTCACATAATAAAATAAAGGTACTGTGTCCAACAACTAACTTTTTTTTGCTAGGTACACCATAGGCCACATGGTAGGCACTTGCAGGGACAGTATGGCAGTGTATGCTGTGATCTCCTGGCTACAGCATGGCCAGCCTCAAGATGCCTCCGCTTCTGCTCTCTGCTCGCCAGTTAACAGACAGCTCTTTTCAAGCACCAGTTTGCTGTGCAGTCAGTCACTAGTTCAGCTAAGTTTATATTGCTTTTCTGTTTTATAAGTTTTCTGTGCCAAATCTGTCAATTGTGTTTCTCTGTTTGTGCATCCCTTCCCTCTGAGGTGAACTGGCACTGCTGCTGCAACTGGCTTGGCTCCAATGTACTCTTCTTGGGCTTTGCTCACTGCACCCGAATTTCTAAGTCTCTAAGAGACTCAGCCCATCCATTATTGAATTTTAGTGAACTCCCTCTTTCACCCACCTTGCTGAGAAGCAGTACTTGAATCATGAGCCACGAGCAACTGGAAATACAGTCTTCCTCTAATCGGCCATCTTGAATCCTCTTTCTCTTATTTTTTTTTCTAGTGCTGGGGATTAAACCCAGGGACCCCTGCATAATGCTAGGCAAGTGCTCTACTACTGAACTATACCCACAATCCCTAGAGCTGGATTTCTAGATGGCAATGAATAAGTAAAACAAATAAATGAATTTTTATTGACATTCTTTGAACATTTAAAAAAATAATTCTCTTTCTAGGCCTCACCTGCAGAGGTATGAACTGATTGTGCACTCCACCTGGCATTCCTCCAGCCATGGGTATGGTCCCAGAATGTGATGTATGATGGAAGGGCTTCCCAGGAACTGGCACTGGTGGTCCCCATGGCATTGAGCCAAAGAGATGAGGTGAAGGCATCATATTAGCTGTTAAAAATCACAGAAAATCTTTCTCTTAGTAAAATTAAAGCCCTGAAATTTAAGACATCTTGCTGCTAAACTCCCCCACTCCTTAGCAAAAGGCTTACACTTAATTAATGTTGTTTACATCATTCAACCTCAGGATCTCTTCTTAGGACTGCGAACTGTCTAAATAAATGAATGTATCTGGACTGCAAAGACCAATAGTACCATATGCTGACAGGAACTGTAGGAATACCTGGAGTTACATTTTAAATAAATCTTGCCTGCCCTCAATGCTAAGTTGCTTCCATAGTGCTCCCAGATTACAACAAAAGCTCAAAACCTAAAATCCTAAAATCTGACCTCTTTCATATGGTATGTAGAATCTTGCTTTTCTCTCTTCTAATGTTTGTATTTCAAGGATATTTTTGCTTTGGCTTCTTATCAGCAACACATTATATTAAAGATTCTAAAACCTGATTTATCTGTGTGTGCTACTTGGGGAGCTTGTGAAATAGACTCCTGGGCAGACTTACCAACTTGGACCTACTCAGACTTGGAAGGCTCAGGAATCTGTATTGCTAACAAGCTCCTCAGGTGATCTGTATGCAGATAGCACCAGTGCAACATATGGGAACTACCGCATTTACCAGTGACAAGACAACTGCACATTGCTACTGAAGAAGATATGAAATATGTTCAAACCTTCTTCTCAGAGAGATCACAAAGCACTTATATTTTAATTAAAATGCAGATACTTGAGAAAAATATTTCCCCTCAGCAGAGAAAAATTGCAGTATATATCAGTGTTGTGAATTATGCATACACAAGTACTAGATGAAGAAAATTTTTATTTATTTATTTATGCAATACTGGGCATTTTACCGCCGAGCTACATCCTCAGCCCTTTAAAAATTTTTAAAAAAAATTTTGATAAGTTGCTAAGGATGGTCTTGAACTTTTGATTCTCTTACCTTAGCCTTCTAAGTAACTGAGATTGTAGGTGTGTGTTGCCAGATGGTAAAGAAAAATTTTAAAAAATGGTTGGGAAAACAGCTCAGTGCTAAAGTGTTTGCCTAGCATGTATGAGGCCATGGATTCAATTCCAAGCACACACACACACACACAAAAACAAAAATAAAACAATGTTAACCTTATGCATAGGTTTGCTTCATAATTTCTCCAACAAATCACTGATATAAATGTATTTTTCTCCATATTTTTAATTTACTTTTTTGTTTGTTTGTTTTGTTTTTTGAGCAGTACTGGGGATTGAACTCAGAGTCACTCTATCATTGAGCCACATTCTCAGCCCTTTAACTTTTATTTTGAGACAGGGTCTTATTAAATTGCTCAGGCTGGCCTCAAACTTGTGATTCTTCTGCCTCAGCCTCCAGAGTTGCTGCAATGACAGGCAAGCACCACCACCCGGCTACTGGATTCATTTTTAAAAGTGAAGAATCAGTCAAAATTAATTCGATGAATTAACAGTGATATTAGTACACTGAGTCTTGATGAAAACATTGTTTATACAGACAAAGGAATATCTGTGTAGTATAGTAACAAAACCATGGGCTTTGAAAACAGTCAAACTTGTACTTGGAATAACAATTCTGCTACTTAGTAATTGTGACCTTAGAGAAGTACTTTTTAACAAAAATCAATGTATTACATATACACTGTACTTCACATAAGTTTTCAACATAAAACAACAGCCACATGTTCTACTCCAGGTTTAACTAAGTTTAGATGTTCATTTCCATACTGCTCAATACTGCTTATGCTCCTAATGAGTAATTTATCAATTTTAAGCATTTTTAGAACTATTGACTGGCTATATAGATCAAAATTCAGTTATTTTGCATTACCCTTCACTACTTGCCCTGTCCTCCTAATATATGTATATATTTGCTTAATAAAGTGTTTATGATACATAATTGTTTAAATTTTGTCATTGCAAAGCAAGATTGTCTGATTATGTTTCTTTTCTTGTAAAACTTTATATTCTGGTCGGAAATTATCTTTTAAAAGCTGCTTAGTCTTCTTTGTATCTATTTTTAATGTTTTTTTCAAATGTTGCCTGGATAGCAGATAATCTGCCTTACTTGCCAAGACTTCCTTCTGCTTCCCAGTTGGAAGTAGTTACTTTCTAGACTTGTTAAGCAGCCGGCATCCTTACATCCTTTACTTGAGTATATCAGATCTATAGATCTGCAACTTTTTCTTTTGGTCTCATGGTTTTCTTCTTTCTAAAATTATTGCTTTGTTTGCTAAAATAGGTAATCCAGTAACTTTTTCATTTTTATTTTTCTGGTACTAGGGTGCTCTATTATTGAGCTACATTCCTAGTGAGAAAGGTCTTGTTAAGTTGTGCAGGCTGGCCTCAAACTTCTGATCCTTCTGCCTCAGCGTCTTGAGTCACTGGGATTACAATGTGTACCACTGTGCTCAGTTCCAGTAACTTCTTAAGAAAGGGTACATAAGAAATAAAATAAATTTGCATGTCTGAAAATGCCTTTACTTTTACACTAGATTTACTTTAGTTATGTAGAGAAATAAGATAATGGGGTTTATCTTCCTAGGTGCCTGCCCCCCATTGTGAATTAGAACCCGCATATCAAAGAAAAAAATCTGGCTTTTGGTTCTTTGGGATTGGCTTTTTTCACTTAGCATAATATTCTCTGGCTCTCTCCATGTACCAGAAAATGCCATAATGTTGTTCTTCTTTAAGGCTGAGTAATAATCCATTGTGTATGTAGCACATTTTCTTTAACCATTCATCTGCTGAAGGGTACCTAGGTTGGTTCCATAGCTTAGCTATTGTCAGCTGAGCGGCTATAAACATTGATGTTACCATGTCACTACAGTATGCTGATTTTAAGTCTTTTGTGTATAAACTGAGGAGTGGAATAATTGGGTCAAATGTTTCTGAGGATTCTCTGTACTGGTTTCTAGAGTGGTTGCACTAATTTTTAGTCCCACCAGCAAAGTATAAGTGTACCTTTTCCCCTACATCCTCACCAACATTTATTTTTTCATATATTTGTTGTTCAATTTTTCTCCATTTACAATGATATTGGCCTTTGGTTTAGTGTATATATCTTTTACAATGTTGAGGTATGTTTCTAATATCCCTAGTTTTTCTAGTGTTTTGAGCATGAATGGGTGCTATATTTTGTCAAATGCTTTTTCAGTATTTATTGAGATGATCATGTCCCTAAGTCTATTGACATGATGAATTACATTTACTGATTACCATATGTTGAACCAAGCTTGCACCCCTGGGATGAACCCTCTTTATTGTGGTGTACTATCTTTTAAATATGTTTTTGTATTTAATTTGCCAGAATTTTATTGAGAATTTTTGCATCTATTCTTCTTTATTCCTAGACATCTTAGTATATATATTTTTTTTAATTAAAAAAAAAAAAAAAGCTTCTTAAAAGAACTTAGTAAAAACAACAACTCAGAGGTAAAGACTTACAGAAGCAACATATCTTACCAGTAGGTTGGGGAAAGACTGGAGGTATGGTTCCAGCTGGTACAGCGGGAGGATAATTTGGAAATATTGGTGGAGGCAAAGAAAAATTCACTCCTAAAGAGCCCTGTGAAATTTTAAAAGTTATAAGACAGTAAAACAAAATGTTTGTATGGAAACTAATTAAAAATTCAGTAGAGAAGTCATGGACAGTTCTTACCAACTGTTGTAAAGCAAAAAGTGCAGCTTTCTCCTTGGCTTCATTTTCAGAGTGGCACTGTGGCCCGTGTACCAGTAAGCCATTAGATAATTTTACTTGGCAAACTGTCATTGTCTAAAAAAAGAGAATAAAGATGTTGATGAAACTATGTTAAGAAGTCTAACTCCTCTCCCAAAGCTTAGTCTAAATGAGTGGGATAATTTCATACAACAACCTGTAAAAGAGAATAAGGAATTCAAAAAAGGACTATTAGTTTAAGTGCTGAGTTTCCAGGCAAAAGTTTTATAACTGTTGCTTTATCTTTTAATGTTTCAAAGCAAATATTCTCTGGGCCATGTATGGTAGGATGAGCCTAGGATAAGATAGGAGGATGGCATGAGCCTAGGAACGGAGACCAGTCTGGGCAACACAGCAAGACAGGAAGAAACAACAACAAACTAAGATGGCACAAGGGTCAAGTATTGTGATGCAAACAAAAGCCAGCAAAACCTTTTTTGTATGTTGATAATTAGAAATTATGGAATAAAATTTTGCTGAAACGTGGTTGCATTAAAAATATTAGTGCATATGATTACTTTCACACTAAAACTGTAGAATTGGGAAGTTGTGACAGTGGCCCTCAGACCCACAAGGACTAATATATTTATTGTGTCTTTATAGGAAATTTTTGCTGAATCATGCTTTAAAACCATCTTTTAATTACCTGACGGTTTGCTGATATGAATTCACTGCCCAAAGTTAAAAGACTCAGGGGTTCTAATTTTATATTTTGATCCTTCTGCCTCAGCCTCCTGAGTTGCTGGGATAACAGGTATGTACCACCACGCCCAGCTATACTTCAAGTTTTTGATTTACAAAGATTTATTTTTTAAATTCTATTTCTTTCAGGGTCTGGGTATGAAACTTGGCAGTTGAAAGCTTATCTAAGACGTAAAAGGCCCCGAGTCCAATCTGTACCCAGAAGAAGTCTTTTTCTTTTTTTCAAAAGGTATTAATTTTTATATTATTGGTTTAATTCTTTGTTTTTCCTTCTATAACTTTTTTTTATTGTGGTAAGATAATACAACATAATATTTACTATCTTAACCATTTTTAAGTATATGATTCAGTAGTATTAAATATATTAATAATGTTATGCTATACATCACCACTGCCCATCTCCACAGCTCTTCATTTTGTAATGCTGAAATTCTCTACCCTATCCTATTTTAACTCCATATTTCCTCCTCTATCCAACTGGTGTTAACCACTGTTTAAGTATCTCATACAGATAGAATCATATACTGTTTGTCTTTTTGTAACTGGCTTATTTCCTTTAGGTTAATGTCCTCAAAAGTTCATCCATGTTGTAGTATATGTCAGAATTTCCTTCATTTTTAAGGCTAAAGAATATCCCATTGTGGGGCTGGGGATGTGGCTCAAGCGATGCGCGCTCGCCTGGCATGCGTGTGGCCCGGGTTCACTCCTCAGCACCACATACAAACAAAGATACTGTGTCCGCAGAAAACTAAAAAAATAAATAGTAAAAAATTCTCTCTTAAAAAAAAAAGAATATCCCATTGTGGCCAGACCCAGTGGCACATGCCTGTAATGCCAGGGTCTTGGGAGGCGGAGGCAGGAGGATCAAAAGCCAGCCTCAGCAAAAGCGAGGCACTAAGCAACTCAGTGAGACTCTATCTCTAAATAAAATACAAAATAGGGCTGGGCTTGTGGCTCAGTGGCCGAGTACCTCCAGGTTCAATCCCCAGCAATCGCCCCCCACCTCAAGAAAGAATATCCCATTGTTTGGATATACTACATTTTGTTTATTCATTCATCCTTCGAACACTTCCACATTTTAGCTATTGTGAATAAAGCTGTTATGGATGTGGTTGTACAAATATCTGTTCAAGACTCTTTTAAATTCTTTACGGCATATGCTGAACTCATGATCCTCCTGAGCCGCTGGGATTATAGGCATGAGCCATTGAGCCTGGCTGTTTTAATTTGTAATATGATAAATATAGATGTAACTTACGCCACCAAAAATGCTTTGGGTTCCTTAAAAAAAAAGGGAGTTTCAGAGGCTAAAAAGTTTGAAAATTGTTGCAACAGACCAAGATCTCTACCAAGTTCTATCAGTCTAAAGAATTTCATAGGACACTTGCTCCCCAAGTTCCTTTCTGTAAACTTCTGTTTGGGTTCTAGTTATGTAAAAATGGAATAACCAGAGTGAGAACCAGAAATTTGCTGTTCATATTTTAAATTTTAAAAGTTCCATTACCTTTTTTTCTAGCCAAAGATTTTCAGACAATTTATTTAAGTTCTGTGTTTAAGAATTTATACAGATGGAATACTATACCTGAGGTGTTCTCAGAAAGGAGAAATCTGGTTGTGGCATTCCAATAAGGGAGCAAATTCGAGAAAGTTCAGTTACTGGAGTGGGCACAGGAGGGATCTGGCCAGGAACAGGCCAACACACATTGTCCACAGATGGAACATTATGGTACTCATTAGCACTGTGAGGCTTGTTCATATAAGATGCTACCAAAAATACAAAATGGACAAATATATTAATAAAATACCTCAAATTATGCAATTACTGTATTTATAGATCACATAGGAAAATGCTAAATATTTAAAGAAATGAATCTCCCAAGAAGCAAATATAAACTAGTATTGCTTAAAATTATTGAAACTTCAATAAAAAGTTTTTAGATGATTATAATTGATTAATGATAAGTCATTAAGATAAAAATTTAAAAATAAGTAGTTAATTTCCCCAAATTAAAATCTTGAGCAACTAATGATTACATGGTATGGTTACAGGTAAAAATCAAAACAAATGACTTTCTTGAGCAGATCTACAATTAATGCTTAAGTTTTAAGGCTTTGCCTTAGATCTAATTCTTGTAATTTTACCATACATTCCGAGATACATAGAACAAGAATTTAAATTTTTTTTTTGTGTGGTACAGGGATTTGAACTCAGGGGCTATACCCTTGTCCTTTTTATCTTTTGAGACAGAGTCTCAATAAATTGCCAAGACTGTTTCTTCTGCCTCAGTCTCCAGAGTTGCTAGGATTATAGGAGTATATCATTGCACCTGACTGGAAGAATGTTTTTGTTGCTTCAAAATGATTCTTCTTACAAGGTTTTTGAAATTAAATCTTTTAATTGTGTTTTTATATAGATGACTAAAACATTTTGAACATTCACATTCTTCACTAATACCTTGGTAAAGAATTAATCTAGTTTTCTACTACAGAATATAAAAAGATATTAAAGGGCTTCCCCAAAGTCACAGAGCCAGTTACTTCTGTAACACTGGCTGGATTCTGAACTATTAGATTCTTGGGTCCAATTTCACTATATTGAAATTAGTAAAATTTACTTGTTTTGCACATTGGGACTATTTTTACTCAATTTTATTTTAAAATTTTATTTTGCTGTATTTCAGGAGCATATTATCACTTGATAATTACTAGTTTTCTAGTAGCTTTTGAAAATTTTAATCAGTTATAGCAATATTCACTGGAGTAAACACAGAGCTAGGCTTTGCTTTCGTTTTAGATTTTGATCTTTAATAAATCCAGAATTAGGGCTGGGGTTGTGGCTCAAGTGGTGGAGCATTTCCTAGCACACCTGAGGCACTGGATTCAATCCTTAGCCCCACATAAAAATAAAACAAAGATATTGTGTCCACCTAAAACTGAAAAATAAATATTACAAAAAATCCAGAATTGATTATTCAAAAATATTTTTTATTTTTCTGGGAAACTTTTGTGTAAGTCATTCTTCCTGGTAGCCTTTGGAAGATAATTACATAGATAAAATACTCATGTTTAAAGGACACAGAGAGTAGGGACAACGATGACTATTTATTGAAATGCAGCTATATACCACACATTATGCTACAGGTTTCAGAGATTTTAAGATAATCACCTACTCTTCATAGTCTACCTCCATTAATAATTTTAAATTCATTTAATGTTTTTTCTTTCCTATTTTTATACTGGTCAAATTATTTTAACATAATTCTAATACCAATTATTGGCACCTGTAATGTGTCAAGTCTTTATTGCCTTATATATGTTATTTAATTATTACACTAGTTATTTGCAATATGTTTAAATTACATAGGCACTTTTAAATTATTGAGGAAAAAAAGCCAGAATGTGAAAACCTTTCAAGGTTTAGGCATCTATAGAATGAGAAACTGTAATAGTACAATTTAAGTCATCATAAGAAGACTTAGGGATTGTATAGTTTTGGTTACACAATTACATTTTTAGATAAATGACACAAGTAAAAATTATACTCTTAAGAAAACTAGTTTTATCTTTTAAAAAAACAAATGATAAAAAGAAATAAATGAACTGACTTTCTGGGAATGATATTGATTATTAGTAGTAGTACTCAGTTTACTTACCTAATTTCTTATTTTGTTTAGGTTGTGAGGACAGTCTATATTCATCTCTTTTATTAGAGGAAACAGTGGCTTCATTACCAAACTTTTTCATTTCATTCTTACGGTCCATTGTGTCAGAACCATCAATTTTTAGAATTTCTTTCAGCATTCGTGTTCCTTTCTTTTTTGAGAATCATTCATATGGAGATGGTGGGGATGGAAAGAGGAGAGTTAACATTAGGTTCATACAGTTTATCTTTCTTTTTGATTTTTTTTTTTTTTTAATATTAGGGCTCAAACCCAGAGCCTGGTGCATGGTAGGCAAGCCCTCTACCACAGAGATATATCTCCAGCTCTTGATCTTTCTTTTGAAGAGTTCCACTGTTAAAATTTAGAGGCTAAGGCAGGAGAATCACAAGTTCAAGGCCAGTCTGAGCAACTTAGCAAGATCTGTCTCAAAATATAAATTGAAAAGGACTGGAGATGTAGTTTATTGGTAAATACCACTTCTGGGTTTAATCCCCAATCCCCCATGTATCCCCCAAATTAATATGCTAACTACATTTATATAGAGAGCAAAGCAAAGCAATAGTGAAGAGCTGAAAATAAATTAGATTCCAGGTATAGAAACAATATTTATTGTTCTGCTTAATCTTAGCCTAGCCACTTAGAAGCAATGTTTGAAAATGAGGAGCTTTTTTCTAACAGGAAAAAAGAGAAGGATGGCTAAATTGTCCAAGGCAGCCTGTTTTTCCTCACAGGATACTAATACAGATGCACTACAGCAACCTACATGAGGGAAAAGTATTTGAAGAGCCACATGGGGTATGTATACATGGCCAGTAGTAGAGAAATTACCATAGTACAAAAAACTATAGCATACAAACCATAGCAAATGATTGTGGTGACAAATGCTCTTCATTTGAAGGTTCTCCATGATGGGATGACTGTGCTTCGTTTTCTTTGGAGATATTCAATGACGCCAAAAAGTTCTCAATTCCAGAGTTAAGCTAAGAAGAACAAATATATGTGGATGAAGATGAAAGTAGAAGGAGACAGCAAAAGCTATCAGTTTTATGCTCAAAACTGGTAATTAAAATTTCACTCAATCATCTTTCCAGGTGTTAAACTTTGGGAAGAGAAACTAAATAAATATCTTTTACCTTATCAATAGCATTTGGATAACCAGTCATAACCTTTTGCTTTCCTGAGACTTCTGGACTTTCATTTCTTTTCAATAGCTTAATATTACATTTGGTAGGCCCTCCAAAAGTCTATAAAAAAGTAAGAATGAACTTTCTGTGCAAATAAATTTTATTTGCTACTTATTAATATTCATTTAGAATGGCTACAAATTTTTATGTGCTGCTTTCCTTTTCATATCATAAGGAAAAAAGGGGCCTGTAAACTTGGATGGGAAAAAAATGATTTCTCTTCATTAATATCTAAATGAGATTTAGCATTTCTTTGAATCATGAACATAGGCCATAAACCACTTATATGGATGGCATGTTTGCATCCTCCTCAAATTGCTATGTTGAAACTCTAACTCCCAATGAGTATTAGGATGTGGGGCCTTCAGGAGGTTAGGTTTAGATGAGGTCATAAGTGTAGAGCCCCCATAAAGAGATTAGTGTTTCTTATAAGATGACAAAGAGAACAGAGCTCTTTCTTTCTACCATATTAGAATTTAAGAAGAGGGATTATTTGCAAGCCAGGAAAAAAGCCCTCACCAGATCCTAATTGTATTTCAAATTTGCAGGTTTTTCTTTCAAACCTTTTAAGCATTAAAAACATCATTCTGCCAATGCTTTCATCTTGGACTTCCCAGCCTCCAGAACTATGAGGAAAACAAATGTTTGTTTTTTTTAAGCCACCAAGTCTACGGTTATTTTTGTTACAGCAATCCAAGAAAACTATGATAGCAGTGTTTTTAACTGTATTTTAGAATAGTGATTTTCATTCAAATCTTGTGTTTTATTTTAGCATTAAAATATTATTCAGAGAATAATAATGGTTTTACCAAAAGTCCATAGGCTTCACTATCGTACAAAATTTTTTTCAGTATTTTTTAATAGAAGGATATCACAGCAAAAGAGTTTTGAAATAAAAAGACATTAAAAGTCAGAAAAGTAAACTATTTACTGGTATCTACATGTTAATGGATTCTAGTTACTGAAAATATGATACTTGTCAAACTTTCTAAGATATTTTTTATAAATTTAATAGATTACCAGCTTATAAAAGTTTTTTGTTTTTGCTTTTTGTGGTGCTGGGTATCAGACCCAAAGTCTTGAATATGCTAAGGAAGTATTCTACAACTGACCTACATCCCCAGGCTGAGATCAAGTTTTTGAAAATATGTATTAAAATATAATGTGCACGCAGAGTGTAAATATCATATACATACATGTCAAATTCTTTGATTATAAAATGTATACATGCTTTTTATCAAATGCCAGGGAATATATAACATAAAACAAATGATCTCAGTTTCCCCCACACCAATCTAATTCCACAAAATTTATACCCTGCTAAGTTTGATATGTTGTTCCTTCCATATAGTATCAATGCATACACAAATATATATTTCCACATGTTTTATACATTTACATATAGATCTATGTATGTATAATAGATTATATAGATTGAGAGAGCCTATAAATGATCAATATTTTTAATCTTCATTTTTAAAATGAAGAAATTAAGGTTGTGAGGTAAAAACTCCTCAAGGCCACCCAACTACTACATGGAAAGATCAGGATTTCAGGTTCCCTAGTTCCAAATTCTGCATTCCAACTGTTCAACCTTCCATTCAAGTGACCATCAACCTATATTTCAACAATCTTCCTGCCATACACCCTGTAGATTTGGTTGAAAAAGTCACAAAATTTAGGCAGATGCCAAAGAGTTACCAACTGCATAAAGAAATTTGACTTTAGGAAGCTTACCTGTTTATTGGATGTTTTTTGTGACCTACACTCAGTTTTAGGACTCTTACACTCTTCTTTAACTAGAGACAAGAAAACAGAAATTTTGGTAAATGAAAGAGCTCACTGAACAACAATTAAATTTACCAAACGTTTACCATAGCAAGGAACTGTTAATAATTCAGAGAATTTACTTTAAATTCAGAGAAATTAAGACTGATTTAAAGGATTTTATAATCTAGGGAAGGATAGAAGATATATTTGCAGACAATAATAAGGGAAAAGGAAAGTGGAATCTGAATTAAACCTTGAAGGATGGTAGATTTCCAAAGGGAGCATAGGAATCTAAGTATTCCAGGCAGAAGGAATAGTGGAAGAAGAGCAGAAAGCAATGAGTGCGTTACGGAACTGTAAACAAACCAGTTCCACTGGTAGGTAAGGAGTATAACAGAGCTGAATGGAACTAAAAGCAGCAGGTTAGAGCCATATCTGCAATTAAAATTGGTAGGGTAAGCAATCAGAAAAGTTTTGAGGAGGTAGTAATGTGATCAGAATTGTGTTTTAGTAAGATTAAAATTAGCCTATTAGCTAGACAGAAGAAGAATAAGAGACAAATAAGCTATTTTAATATTCCTGTTAAGGGAAACTTGGAGAGGCGATAGGAAAATTAAAATTTGACAGACTATATGATTTAACAAACAAAAGTATGTAAAGATGAAGGAGATGAGGACAAGAGGCAAGAAAAGCATAATTTGTAATCAATACATACTATTCTATAATTTTGGATATACTGGATTATATAGATGTACTGTAACATATTTATACCACTTTCTTATCACTGGCTGTTTATAAAGCCAATCTGGGGAGGGGCAAAGACGGGTGGGGAGAAAAGAGAAAATAAGAAGGGAAGGAAGGGAAATAAGGAGGAAAGAGAGATGGAGGAAAGAAGCAGGGAGAGGGAAAGGGGGAGGACAAGAGATGACAGGAGGGAAAGGAGAGTGAGAGAGACAAGAAGGGCAATGCCTTGGCTAAGTACTGAAGTCATGACCCACCAAATACAGAGAACTCCTCAGCACAGATTGGGAGGCTTACTGGTTCCAGATATTAAGGAATGTTAAATAAAAATTATAGAAGGCCATTGTTTTGGGCCAAGATCCTGCACTAGACCCTAAAAGGTCAGACTAAAAATCAAAATGGAATCAATTCCACTAAAAGTGAAACCAAAGTTGAGTTGTTAACTTGCCTTCTGAGAACTCAGGAGAAAGAACAACTAAATTTTCCCAATAGGCCAGTTTCAACAGGCATGAGAACAAAGTTCCTTGATGTTAGCCAGTTATTTTTCCATTGTTCTGTCTCCATGTCTACTACATAAGGAAAGTATCTTAAAATGATCAGTCCACTTTTTAGTCTTTGTTTGTACTTTCTTTAGCCTTTTCCCATCTATAAAACCAACTTCTTCTGCTCAGGCCATGGGAACACTTACTGTAAGCAATGAGGTGTTGCTCAATTCTACAGTGGCAAACAAAGCCAATTAAGACATTTACTTATTTATTTACTTGATTGATTGCAGTACTGGGACTGAAACTAGGGGTACTCTTACCAGTGAGCTACACCCCCAAGTCCTTTCTTAAAATGTAATTTTGAGAAAGGGTATTATTACTAAGTCCATGTCCAGATGAATTGTATCAAACATTTAAAGTAACACTAATACTTCTCAAACTCTTCCAAAAAAATACATAAGGAGGGCTCATTTCTCAACTCATTGTATGAGCTCAGTACTACCGTGATAACAAAATCAAAGCCATCCCAAGAAAAGAAAATTACAGACAACATCATTTATAAATATGCATGTAAAAAAGAACTTTAAAAAACTACCAAATTAAATCCTGCAGCACATAAAAAGGATTTACACTGTGGCTTAGTTGGATTTATCTCAAGAATGCAAAGTTTGTTAAACATGAAATATAATCAGTGGAACACACCATAAAAGCTGAATAAAGAACAGATCATCTCAGTAGATACAGAATAGCACTTGAGGGCTGAGGGGTTTAAGCACAGCGGTTAGCACGCACATGTGAGACCCTGTGTTCGATTCTCATTACTATAAAGAAAAGAAAAAAAATAATAATAAAGAAAAGAAAGAAAGGAAGGCAGGCAAAACCAACCAACCAACCAACAAAAAACCCAAAACAATAACAAAAATGTGTTTGAGGGGCCTAGGATATAACTCAGTAGTAGAGTGCTTGCTTAGCAAGCATGAAGTTGTGGGTTTAGTCCCCAGCACTGCAAAATAAATAAACAGACAAATAACCCAATTAAAAAATTAACTAAGCATTTGAACAGATCTCTAAAAAAGATATGATAGTTAATAATAAGCACATGAATATCTGCTCAACGTTATTAGTCATTAATGAATTGTAAATGAGAATCCAAGGAGATCCTACTTCACATCTACCAGGATGGTTATCATCAAACAAATGGACAATAACAAGTGTTGTGATCAGGCTGGATGCTTACATATGGAAGGCAGATGTAAATGGTATAGACACTTTGGTATAGCAACTTTGGAAAAAAGTTTGGTAGTACCACAGAAAGTTAAGCACAGAGTTACCATATGACTCAATACTAGAAGTAGAAGAATTAGAAGTAATTCTCTCAAGAGAATTACAAATATATGTTCTCAAAAAAAAATGGTACACATATATTCATCATATCTCCAAATGTGGCAACAGATGAATGGAAAAATAAGTGGTATTCACACAGTGGAATATTATTTGGTCATAAAAGGAATGAAGTACTTACAGATACAGGCTATAACATGAAAGGACCTTAAAGGTCATGTTTTCTATTTTTTTTTTTTTGGGGGGGGTACTAGGGTCTGAATCCAGGGGTATTTAACCACTGAGATACATTCTCATTCCCATCCTTTTTTATTTTATTTTTTACTTTGAGACAGAGTTTTGCTAAGTTGCTTAGGGCCTCCCTAAGTTGAGGAGGTTGATCTCAAATCTGCAATTCTCCTGCCTAAGCCTCCTGAGTAGCTGGGATTACAGGTGTGTGCCACCACACTCAGCTTCTGCTTTTATTTATATGAAACATACAGAATATGTAAATTAGAGGTTGTTAGGGCCTAGAAGAGTATTATTATTAGTGAGTATGATGTTTCTTTTTGGGGTGATGAAAATGTTTTAAATTTAGATAGTGGTATTGATTGCACAACTTTATAAAAACATAAAAAACAAAATAACACAAAACACTGATTGTATACTTTAAAGGATGAATTTGTTTTATGGTATGGGAAGTATACCTCGAAGCTGTTTTTTTTTTAAAAAAAGAAAGCAGGTGAGGCTGGGGTTGTAGTTCAGTGGTAGAGCACTTGCCTAGCATATGTGAGGCACTGGGTTTGATCCTCAGCACCACATAAAAATGAATAAGTATACAATTTGATGTTAAAAAAAGAAACAGATAATATACAAGTAAACCTTTCTAATTTAAAACTTACATTTTCTGTGAGGGTCATGTTTCCTTTGTTGGTATTTAATACTGTTGTCATTAAAGCCAGATTTATGCTGTTGAGTTACTTGACTTATTTCTTGAGGTAGAACTGCACCCTGCAAGTTAAAATGCTTAAGAATAAGTTAAATAAATCTTAATACTATAACTATTACTTTTCCTCAACTTTTAATTAATAATTACTTTATTATTTTAATAAAAATTACATAGTTCCTTAGGAAAAAAGTAAGATAGAAAAGCAAACAGAATTTAAAAAACTATCCAAAATTCACCACCAGCAATAAAAATAATTTACATAATGCTCATCACTGCAAACATTTCTCCAGGCATCAGTATGACAGCAAGACAAATAGAAAACAATCCTTTTATGAAAGTGCTATTTTCTTTTTTTTTCAAAAGTCATATTTTAATAGAATTAAACCAAATTTTGTTTTAAGTTAAACACAGAAACTAAAGAAATATTAAACTTTAGGTAAATGTTTCTTTACAACAGAAATAGCAGCCTTTCTAGATGTGCTTTGAGATAATCCTACCTCTGGGGGAGGTGGGAGCAGGGAGTGAGCAGGAGAAGAAATAGCTCTGGACAAGAGCAAGGTAGTACAAGGACCTGTGTTTGGGGCCTCCCTAAATTGCTGAGGCTGGCCTTGAACTTGTGATCCTCCTGTCTCAGCCTACCAAATTGCTGGGATTATAAACTGGTGTCACTGCACTGGGCTCTTGCTAATTGTCTTAAGTACTGTAATGTCTTCCTATTACTTGACAATATCAATATTAATAAAAATCAGATACTGGGGGAAGGAACATGAAAGGGAATGCAAATTAACTAATATCTTCAATTTAAAATACATTTGAAGCCAAGATGTAAGATTAACAATTCTTAGCAAAGAGGTAAGAGTCAAAGTCATTGGTCAAGCAATAAGGCAAAAAGGGGAAAAAACTGTTGCTGAATTTAGAGGAACAGTTCCTAGTGAAAGGTTGGAAGAGCACAAGTTAAAAAAAATTTTGAATAGAGCCAGGCATGGAGGCTCACACCTATAATCCCAATGATTTGAGAGGTTGAGGCAAAAGGTTTGCAAGTTTGAGGCCAGCCTCAGTAACTTAGTAGGACCCTCAGCAAGTTAGTGAAACCCTGTCTGGAAATCTTAAAATAAAAAGGGCTGGGGATGGAGCTCAGTGGTATAGCACCCCTGGATTCAATCTCCAGTACCAAAAAACCAAAAACCAAAGTAGTTGCATAGATGGATATAGACTACAAGGCTCTCAGGGTAATATTTCCATCCACTCATCCATTCACTCATTCATTTTAAGAGAAAAGTCTTGCTGTGTTTCTCAGACTGGCCATGAATTCTTTCCTGGCCTAGGACAGTCTCCTGACTTAAGTAACTGATAGCAGATGGGACCACAGGTATGAACCACAAAATGCACCTTGCTAACATTTCCTTTTAGAACAAAACTTCTTCAAAGAACTGCCGTCTCTAATTGCTGCCTCCACTTTTTCTTCCCCTTTCCCTGTTTTTTTTTTTTTTTAAGTCGTCCCCCCCACCCCCCGCCCCACCTCAATACTGTGGATTGAACCCAGGGGTGCTCTACCACTGAGTTACATCCTCAGCCCTTTTTGTTCTTTTATTTTGAGATAGAGTCTTGCTAAGTTGGCTTTAAACTGATGATCTTGCCTCAGCCTCTCCAGGTGCTGGGATTACAGGTGTGTACTACTGGTATTCTCCCCTTCTCTCTTAAACACACTCCAGTTTAAGTGTGATTATACACAAAGATTATACTCATCATATTACTGAAACTGCTCCTCAAGGTTCCCAATGAACTTCAGGTGCTAAACTCTATGGTCAATTCTCAGTTTTCACTTTTTTTTTTTTAAAAAAATTCAGTATTAGGGATTAAACCCAGGGGGAGTTCACCATTGAGTTACATTCCCAATGCTTTTTATTTTGAGACAGGATCTCACTAAGTTGTTGAGGCTGGCTTCAAACTTGTCATCCTCCTGCTTCAGCCTCCTGAGTTGCTGGGATTAAAGGGCTATGCCACTGTGCCTTGCTTTCATGTGTGTGCACATGCACATGTTTAAGATAGAACCCTGGGCCTCCAGATGTCAGGTAAATGCTCTACCTCTGAGCAAAATCCCCTGATTCCACCCTCACTTTTTATGCCTGTTTTACCATCACATTTGCAATTTTGTCCTCTCTAGCACAGATAATGCCACAGGACACTGAAACAGATGAGGTGCTTATGGTGCAGGCTAGTGGATTATAGACAGAACAATTTTTTTTGACCCACACTGAGAAGTTAGGTTAGTAACTAGCAAAAAATTTAGCAGGAATTAACTCTTTGCCCTCTTCATTTCTTTGAGACTATTCTTTTAGCAGCATTTCTTTGCTCTTTTGTTGCTGTGCTGGGGAGTGAACTTAGGGCCTTATGAATGTTGGTAAGCTCTCTGAGCTATACACCCTCAGCCCTCTTTCATCTTCTTATTTTTATAAAGGAATATAAATTTGCTCATTCATATTTAACAAATCAACTTCTAGTGTAAGATTATACATTCAAGTGGAAAAAAATAAGTTATTGTCATTAAAACCTTTGTTGAATTTAAAATATAGCTACTGTTGATTTTTTAAGTAGCTTTTAAAAAAATCCAAAACTGCTGGGTGTGGTGGCACATGCCTGTAATTCCAGTGACTTCTGAGGCTGATATAGGAGGATCATGAGTTCAAAGTGAACCTCAGCAAAAGTGAGGTGGTAAGCAACTCAGTGAGACTCTGTCTCTAAATAAACTACAAAATAGGGCTCAGAATGTGGCTCAGTGGTCGGTCGAGTGCCCTGAGTTCAATCCCTGGTACCAAAAATAAATAAATAAATAAATAAATTCCAAAACTGACTTAAAAGAAAAATGTACTCTCACTCACCAGTCCTAAAATGTCATGTCTAAAAATAATTACCAAAATTCATAATCAAAACTGTCTTTTTTCTATTTTAGGAGAAATTTTTAATTATTGCAAAGCTGAAAGAAAAATTAAAAAAAATCTTTTTAAAAATGAATTGTTCATCAAATAAAGAATACTAACCTTCTCTTGTATAGTTGGCTGGAACTGCTGAATTTTTCCAGATTCCTGTAAGGATTGCCAAATGTTGCAAAATTCATCATCATCTTTAATAGGTGCCTAGTGAAGCACAAACAATTTCTTAAGAAAATTAGGACAAAAGTTCATACGAAATTATTTATTTATTAAAATTATTTAGTTGGAGGTTGGATATTTATTTTCATTATTTGAAATCCCTGAATTTTTGTTTTTTCTAGAGCTTAGCTCAGTAATTATGAAAGCATTCTACTAGAATGAAACTAGTCTTTTTAAATATGCAAATGTTTTGAACGGGTTTACTTAAAAAATAAAACATAAGAAAGACTATAAAAGATTATACTCGGGTACAATCAGTGATGTGATTTAAACCACACTTTTTAAATAAAAAAAGAAAACTAAGTCAAATTAAATTTCCATTTAATTTGTGTAAACTGTGAAAAACTGCTCATATTTGTGTAATATGAGTTAAATTGTATTCTGTTGTCATATATAACAAATTAGAATAAATAAAATTAAAAAAATTTAAAAAAAGATTTTATTTGTGCTGGGGTTGTAGCACAGTAGTAGAGAGCTTGCCTAGCATGTGTGGGGCATTGGGTTCTATCCTTAGCACCACATAAAAATAAATAAAATAAAGGTCCATCAACAACTAAAAAACAAAGATTATACTCAATATCTCACCAACAGCTTTTTTCCCTTCTAACAAATTAGTATATAATCTCATTTATACAAACATCTAAAGATTTTGTTTTAAAAATTTCTACTTTACATAAAGTAATCTCGGTAAATTTAGAAATTATCTATTAATTTATAAATTAGAAATAAATTTATAATTTGATTATTTATGGTTATAATTCATAAATTATTAATTTATAATTAATTTAATTAAATTGATTTAATGCAGTTTAAGATTCTGAAAAAACTTGCTCCAAAATTTAATAGCAGTTACCTATGCTCCTTGAAAGATTTTTGCTTGTGTTTCCTTTGTTACTATCTAATTATATGTTTTCCAACTAGTCTACAATATATATGTATTATTTGGTTTAAAAAAATGTGTTTAAGCCTAAAAATTGGGGCCATTAATTAAATACAGTTCAATGTTTCAGAAAAGATAATTCAGTTTTTGTGTCCAGAAAGATTAAGAAAATCATCCATGGGCTGGGGTCGTGACTCATGGTTGGAGCACTTGCCTAGCATGGATGAGGCACTGGGTTTGATCCTAAGCACCACATTTAAAAAAACAAAAACCAAAAACACAAAGTTATTAAAAAGAAAAGAAAAGAAAAGCAAAGAAAATCATCCATGGATTACATGGTGGGAACTTAAAAACTGCTTTTGACAAATGTAACTTCCCTTTGAACTTTTCAATTTCTATAATTCATAGAAGATAGACATTTAGATTATAAGAAAAAATTTAAATAATTTAAAAAGTAAACATAAAAAACATATTCTCAAGTTCATTCTTTCAATTAATCTAGTTTTATTTTTTATATGTTTTTAAATTGTAGATGGAAACAATACCTCTATTTTATTTATTTTTATATGATGTTAAGGATTGAACCCAGTGCTTCACACGTGCTAGGCAAGTGTTCTACCAATGAGCTATGATCCTTGCCCTAATGTATTTTATTTTTAATAAAACTAATTTAATAGCAGCAGAATGAATTCTTTTCTTCTTCCTTCTTTTCTTTTTTTTTTTTTTGGTGGTATAAGGATTAAACCCAGGGACCTTCTGCTTCCTAAGCAAAACCTCTACCACTAAGCTACATCTCCAGCCCTTAAAAATTTTATATTTTGAGACAGTCTCAATAAATTGCCCAGGCTGGCCTTGAACTTGTGATCATCCTGACAGTCTTTGGATGAGCTGAGTAACAGCATTCTTCATTAGCCTACTATTTTAAAACAACTTTGAAATTGATTTGAACTACACTTTTTAAATAAAAAAGGAAAACTAAGTCAAATTAAATTTCCATTTAGAAAGTCTGCCATGATTTGTGATTTTGTAAAGAAGATGGAGAGAAGTTAAAACACTGACTTACTTGAGTAGGAACAAAAAGTGACTGAGGAGAATGGTTGAGGCCTCCTAAATGTGAGGCAGAAACTGATAAATTTGGGCTATAGTGATTCACAGCTGGCTGTGGTTTCACAATGGCTGTCAACTTCTGATTTCCTGTTTCAGAGCGACTCCCATGAGAAAGGTTCACCAAGGCACTTGTTGGTAGTCGATAACCTCTACCAGGTGAGCACCTAAAAGTAAAATGGTTTATCAGGATCAAAAGGAAACAATACTAAATATGCTAGGGAGAAGAATCAAATAATTTGGGGGTAGACAATCCATCATAAGAAGTAATAAACTGGATTATAGGCATGCACCATCATGCCTGGCTCATTTTCACATTTTTAAAAAGATTTTGAGATAGTGTCTTGCTAGGTTGCTGAGGCTGGCCTTGAACTTGTGAATTTCCTGCCTCAGCTTTTTGTCACTGGGATTACAGGTGTGTGCCACCACACCAAGCAAAAGTATATAGTTCTTTTATAAGAAACTTTTTTAACTGCAAGGTTGCTATAAAATACCAATTTTAATGAGAACTACACTTAGCAAAGATTCCATATTATGAAAATCAGTATTCTGCAGGCAGTTAATCTTTTACATAGCCCTCTATCAGTCAAGCAATCCACTGCACTTAACTAGGAGAGGGAAAAAAGACACTGGGAGGAAAAACCTAAAAACAGACTAAAACTATTTTCAAAGGTTACTTGACTAAAGTTACTAGTAATCAAACATTTTTATGAAAAATAAAATCAAATAAGGATCCAGATTCTGTTGCTGCATTTGAAGAGTATAGGCAGAAAGGTCTTTGGGCAGCAAGCATATTCAGGTTTCTTTTTCTTTTTTTGTGGTACTGGGGATCAACTGCAGGGCCAAGAGCATGCTGGGTTAGCACTCTACCACTGAGTTACATACCCAGACAATATCTGAGTTTTAACATGATAATAATAGCATCTTGAAGGGAACCATTTAGAACAAAGATTGAAGATTGTGAGTTTATGCCAGGCAGTTAAATAAGAATAATTTAAAATTTTTAATTACCCAAAAACAGAAGAGAAGAGGAAACTGAGCTAGATTCACTTTAGTCTTCTAGTTGATTTTAGAAGAGCAAAAGGAAAACTGTACAGGATTTTATTTTATCCTTATAATAACCTAGTGAAAGAGGATGCTGATGGTCAGATGTTTTTAACTAACCTACCCAAGGTTAGTTTAAGTGAAAGAGCTCAGACTTTCTAACACACCATGGTGCCTTTATACCATCATGATCTTTCCCATAAACTTTAAACTTTGAGTTAGAATGCTCTCAAAATGAATTCAAGTCTTACTTAAGTTAAATCAAAAACAATTCAAACCTAGTTCATTAAACCTGCTACCTTCCTGTTCTATTGCTCTTTTCCTTCCTAGTCAGGTTTCTCAAGTGTTACCTTCATTTCCTGTCTCCACTCCACTTGCTATTCACACCTCAAACCACTCCAGTCAGGTCCACCACTCTACTGAAATATTTACAAGTCACTGAATTCAAGGGATATTTCTACTCCTCAAGTTACTTAACCATAAATATCCTTTGTTATATATGCTCTCTTTTTTTTTGTCTTTCTGAGCACTCTTCACTGTTCCTTCTTCTGCCAATTAACTACTATTTATTTTTCCTTCCACTCTCTTATTACATTTTAATTAAATAATTAATACTGTAATTAGTTGCTTCATTATCTCAATAAAATTCAAACTCTATGAGGGCAGAAAGCATGTCTGCCTTATTCACCATGATATACTGTGTAGTAAGTGTGGTATCCTACATAAACTATGAACTAAACTGTGGACATACAAACAAATAATGTAAAACCCGAGGCCACGTGGACATAGTCACAAAATAAAATCATTATTTGGAAATACAAACCTTATTGTTAAGCCTCCAGGAAATTCTTCATCAAATAATACTTCAAATAGTACATCAGCTTCTCTATTAGCTATTGAAGGAGAGAGAGAGACTAAAATCATATAATGAAAAATCACTGATAAGTTTTAGAGTGCTCAGAAGCTATTTTTGAAATCCATATAAAATATTCTGGATGTGAAGAATGACATGTAACAATATAGTGCTTGAGAAGACCACTATACCCCAATTCCCAGCTAAGTAACCACTATCTTCAATTTGACAGTTATGATTGTTATATATATATATATTTTTTCTTTTTTTTCAGTGTTGGGTATCGAAACCAAGGTCTTGGGCTGCTAGGCAAGTGTTCTAACATTGAGCTAAAAGGCATTTCTTTATACTTTTACTACACGTGTACACATGTTAATGATATGTAGTGTATTGTTTTCTAAGTTTTGAAACATTATATACATGTTATCATAGACAATATATTCTTTTGTCATTGTATCTGTGAGATTCATTCATGTTATACTGTGCGTCTAGAAAACAGAATAAACGCAAAGACACATGAATGAATCTCACAGATAGCAATGCTATTATAAACACTGCTATCACGAACATTGTATAAATCTGTCCTTTAACCATATCCTTCCCTAGGTTAGAAGTGAAATTGCTAGTTGTAAAGAATGCACTTATTTATTTATTGGATATTGGGGATTGAATGCAAGGGTTTTGTACCATTGAGCTAGGTACCTAGTCCTCTTCCTTCTTCTTCTTCTTTTTTTTTTTTAAATTTTGAGGCTCCTGCCAAGGCTGACCTCAAACTTATGATCAGCCTCAGCCTCCTGAACTGCTAGGATTACAGTGGGCACCACTGTACCTGGTTACATTTTTTTTTAAAACAGCTTTACTGAGGTATAAGTAACATGGGATAAATTGCCCATATTTAAAGAATATAATTTAATGAGTTTTAACATAAGGCATTAACTATGAAGCCATCATATATAACCATTCCTGAACTTTAGATTGGGCAACGGGGAGGATGGGGAAGAATTATGAGGCAGGAGTGATGGTGAAATGAGATGGACATCATTATCCTAGGTACATGTATGATGCATGAATGGCGCATCTCTACACTGTGTACAACCAGAGAATTGAAATTTTCTGCTACATTTGTGTACAATGAACTGAAATGCATTCTGCTGTCATGTACAACTAAGTAGAACAAATAAAAAATAATAAATTGGAAAAAAAATCACTTCCCAAAGTTTCCTGTGTCCTTTTGTAATCCCCACCCTCCTTCCCTGGGAAACCACTAAAAGTCTGCTGTCACAATAGGTTAGTTTGTATTTCTAAAATTTTATATAAATAAAATCATAGAATATGTATTCCTCTTTTGTCTAGCTTCTTTCAGCATAATTATTTTGAGTGTCATTCTCATTGCATGTATTAGTAGTTTTTTCTTTTTTATTGTTTGAGAAATATCTCATTGTACAGGTATCTAACAATTTATTTAACCACTCACCTGTTGATGCACATTTAGATTATTTCCAGTTTTTTGGTCATTATATACAAAGCTGCTTCAAAGATTCATGAATGAGACCTTGTTTTTGTTTAAGGCTTCATTTCCTTGGGTAAGCCTCTAGGGATGGAACAGCTGTGGAACAGCTGGGTTTTACAGTAGATGCATGTTTAATAGCTTTTTTAAAAACCTACTTTCCAAAGTGGCCGTATCTTTTATATCCCCACTGGCAATGTAGGAGAGTTGCAGTTACTCCACAATACTGCTAACAGTTTTGTTTTGTTTTTACTGCTAATATTTAACATTAAATATTTTAATATTTAAAATTTTAATTTGTTATATGAGACAGTAGAATGCATTACAATAATTTTTTTTTTTTTTTGTACTGAGGTTTGGGGATTAAATCCAGGGCCTTGTGCATGGTAGGCAAGTACTCTACCAGTAAGCTCCATCCTCAACTCTTCTTATGGATTTAATTTTTATTTCTTAATGACGAATGGTTTTGAGCATCTTTTCATGTTTCTGCCACATATCTTCTGTGGTAAAATATCTGTTCAGCTATTCTTTTTTTAAATTTTGAATTGTTTATTACTCAGTTGTAAAAATTACATATTCTAAACACAAGTATTTTGTTGGATTTACAGTTTGCTAATATTTTCTTTGTATGTGGCTTGTATTTTCATTTCTGTAATAATGTCTTTTTTTTTTTTTTTGGTACCGGGGATTGAACCTAGGTCCTGTGAATGCTAGGAAAGTGCTCTACAACTAGTTACATCCCCAGCCCTTTTAATTTTTTTTTTTTAATTTTCTTTTTTTTAAATTTTTTATTGTTGGCTGTTCATAGCCCTTTTAATTTTGAGATAAGGTTTTGCAAAGCTGTCTGGCAGCTTGTGATCTTTCTGTCTCTGTCTCCTGAGTTGCTGGGATTACAGAATTGTGCTACCATATCTGTTATGTAGCAGTGTCTTTGAAGAGAAAACATCTTTTATTTTCATGAAATCCAAATGATCAATGTTTTCTATTTCAGGCTTTCTATGTGCTATTTAAGATATCTTTAACAAACTCTATATTATTAATATTTTTTTCTTAGAAGTTTTTGTAATTTTACATCTTACATAAGTCTCTGATTAATTTTAACTAATTTCTATAGAAGGTATAAGGTGCATTTAATTTCTTCACTATAAAACAATTGACCATAAACGTATAGGTCTGTTTCTGGAGTCTAATTCTATTCCACTAATTTACACACAGTCTGTTTTTATGCCAATCTACACTGTTTTCCACTATTCAATCTTTATACATTTTGCAATCAGGTAGTAGAAATTCTTCAATTTTGTCATTTTTTCAAATTGATCTGACTAGTCCAGAGTCTTTGGATCCTATATAGGTTTTAAAAATCATCTTGTTGATTTCTGCAAAATAGGCTAATAAGCACACCTGTAATTCCAGCTTCTGAGGAAGCTAGCTAAGGCAAGAGGATCAAAAGTTCAAAGCCAGCCTTGGCGATTTAGCAAGATCCTGTCTTAAAACAAAACAAAAGCCAGGCAGGTAGGGAACACCTATAATCCCACCACCGCAGGGGAGGCTGAGTCAGGAGGATGGTAAGTTCAAAGCCAGCCTCAGCAACAGAGAGGCGCTTAGCAACTCAATGAGACCGTCTCTAAATAAAATACAAAAAAAGGCTGGGGATGTGGCTCCGTGATCAATCCCTGGTACCCCAAAAAACAACAAAACAAAACAACTAAAACAACAACAAAAATAAATTTAAAAAAAAGCAAAAAGGGCTAATAATGTAGCTTAGTATTAAAGTACCTGCCTAGCATGTGTGAGGCCTTGGGTACCAACAACAACAAAAAAAGATGAAAACAATGTAATTAATTTCTTGCTGAATTCTGGTCCTGCTTTCCTTTGTTACAAGTAAGCATAGTGCGGTGTCAGGGCTCATTTCAAATAGAGTCTTTCTTACGAAAATAATTAGGATGAAAATACAATATAAAAGAATCACTGATCAATGTTATTTAATGAACTGCCCTATTTTACTTAAAGTTATTTCATGTACAGTAGAAAGTAGTGCACTTTGGGAGTTGCTTGTCTAAGATATTCATGTTGGTTGATTTCATCTGTGAACTTAGGCTGTGGTGTCCAGCTGTTTGGCTAAACATTCATGTAGATATTGCTGTGAAACTATTTTTAAGCTGTGACTAACATTCAAGTTAGCAGACTTTGAGCAAAGTAGATTACTCTTCATAACCTGTGTGGGTCTCATCTGATTAGCTGAAAGTCATAAGAGAAGATTTGGGATCCCCCAAAGGAAGAAATCTACCTCCAGACTCAAGCAAAATCAGTTCTTGCTGGAATTTCCAGCTTGTAATTTTGGAGTTGCCAGTCTCCATAGCTACATGAGCCAATTCCTTAAAATCAATCAATCAATCAGTCACTCTTCATTCAACCAGTTTTATATCTGTGGAGAAGACTACACAATATCTGCCACCATATGACCCAGCTGTACCACTCTTTAGTATTTATCCTAAAAAAAATTACAGTGATACATGCCTGCCCATATTTATAGGAGCACAATTTCACACTAGCCAAACTATGGAACAGCCTAGGTGTCCATCAATGGATGAATGGATAAAGAAAATTTAGTATGTATATATAATGAAGTTTTATTCAGCCATAAAGAAAAATGAAATTATGTCATTTGCAAGAAAATGGATGGATGGGGTTGGGGATGTGGCTCAAGCGGTAGCGCGCTCGCCTGGCATGTGTGCGGCCCGGGTTCGATCCTCAGCACCACATACAAACAAAGATGTTGTGTCCGCCGATAACTAAAAAATAAATATTAAAAAAAAAGAAAATGGATGGAACTTGAGACCATTAAATTAAGCAAACTAAGCCAAATTACAGCTCTTCCACTTATTGATGTAAATAGAAGCAAATTGTTTAATCTTTCAGGTAAGGAAATAATATCCATCTGTCAGGTGGTTGTGAAGGTTGAGTACAAAATATTTAAGTATGTGGCATACCGTTGATACTGAATATGCCTGTGGCCTGCCTATTTTTCCTTTTGGGATGGTGAGACCAAGTGGTTGAGTGCCTGGGTCATGGAGAGACAGTGCTGCAAAGCATCCTGATCCCTGGGCACCTGATTTGCTGTTTCAGGTTGGGGCTATTTTTGGAATCTGCTCCATAAAGTTGTTCACTCCAGGTATCTCTTTGGGACACATTTAGAACCTTAGATGCTTCCTCCTTTTTTTTTTTCTTCTCTTCCTTTATTTCTCTCCTCCACCCCCCAACTTCCCAGTACTTGATATTGTACCCAGGGGCATGTTACCCTGAGCTACATTCCCAGCCCTTTTTATTTTTCAACTTTGACATTGGGTCTTACAAAATTACACAGGCTGGCCTCAAACTTGTGATCCTTTTGCTTCAGTCTCCTAAGTCACTGGGATTATGGGTGTGTACCATCCCCCACATCTCCTTTTTAAATTTTTGGTTAAAACACACAACATAGGGCTCAGTGGTAGAGCAAGTACTTAGAATGCACAGTGTCCTAGGTTAAATCTCTAGCACCAAAACAAAACAATATAAAAACATAAAATTTACCATCTTAGCCATTTTAAAGTATACAGTACAGTAATGCTAACTATATGCACATTATTGTTCAACAGATTGATAGGTCTGTTTTATATAATTTAATTATCGATATAAAATTTAGATTAATATACAAATTTAATTCCCAATCTTCAAATGTAAACAATGCGATGTTTATTTATTTCTTCATAGAATCCTAAATATTACAATGGAAATTAAAGTAAAGCTCTGAGCAAGATTAGACAAAAGTTTAAAGCCTGGGTACAGTGCCTGTAATCCCATTAGCTTGGGACTGCTGAGGCAGGAGGATTAAGAGTTCAAAGCCAGCCTCAGAAACTTGGAGAGATCCTGTCTCTAAATAAAATACGAAAAAGGGTTGGGATATGGCTCAGTGGTTAAGTGCCCCTGGGTTCAATTCCCAGTACCAAAAAAAAAAAAAATTTAAAGAAAAGTTATGAAAATTTCCTCTTAGTTTTATAAAAACACATGTTTACCCTAAACATCTTATATAATTTCAGTGTGATAAATATAAACCAGCAAAATTTGACAGTCCCATCTCAACTTCCCCTTCTTTTAATTATGTCTTAGATGATTACACAGGCAAAAAACAAAAAGGGGGAATTTTCTCTGACAAATACAATGTAGAAGGAAAAAAAAATTTCACAAAAGCTACAACATAAAAGGATTTTTTTCCTGATATATACATTTTTCTGCTTAGATATGAAAAACACACAAATTTGTGCTTTATATTACCATATAAGTATAGCTAAAGACTTATCAAGTATTGAGACATTACCTCCTTTGATTCCTATGATGGTGCCCCGAAGGCCAACTGGAACCGAAAAATTCTCTCTCACGTTTACAACACGGTCAAAGAGACGAAATTCTGCATCCCGATCAGGAATGACTCCATGTTGCTGTTCTAAAGGCTGAAAAGAAGAGAGCCATTAATTCTCATTAAAAGTTTCTCTAATATATTGAAAACATTTTTAAAGCAAAAGCAACTAGTTTGAATTCTTTGATAGGAACTTACTCTGTATAGCAAATGTGGCTTCACTGTCACTCGTACTTTCTTATTATTCTTTCTTTGCTGAGGAAAGAAAAAAAACTTTTATGTGTAAAATTGTAAAAGCAGAATTCACTACTTCAACATATCTTAAGTTTACAGAACCAAAAATAAAAAACAAAACAAAAAAGCTTATAAAGCCAAACGAAATGATTAATTTTAAGAACATCTAAAGTTCCGCAGCTACGGGTAAGTGGGAATAAAATAAACATTTATAAAATGCTTATAAACCTAAATTCTTATTTAAAAAATTTTAATGTAAATTGTTTTTGAAATATGACATAGAAAAATGCAAAGTTGTAAGTGAAGCCAGAAGAATTTTTTTCTTTAATACATCTGTGTGTATCCACACTTGATCCGAGCAGCACTTTTCCTTAAGCATAAGAAACCCTCTCCAGCCCCTCCTACTTACTGGCCTTCCTCAAGTAAACTTACTGCTAACACAAAAGATTAGATTTGCCTATTTTGAACTTTATATATAAAAGTGCTATCTTATGGCTTTTTTCCTCTTTCAAAAGAATTATAGGAAATAGCCAGCAAAGATTTTTATAGAAGAAAGAAAGGTATAAAGTATTATCTGTGAGAACACCATGGGTTGTGTGGTATTTTTAAAAATTAAGCTTGAGTTCATTTGATAAAACCTTTGCCTTTTGATCTATTGTGAAATTTGATGTCTGAATGTTTGAGTTATCTACAGAATGCTGGAAGAAGAGTTTTTCCTGTTCTTTTTCACTTGTTAGTTCTGTGAACTCACACTTTCAGCATTAGTTGCCTTCCATCTATGGGATGGCAATAATTTTACGTGTTCTAGCTAATCAAACAGTGGAAATAATTTCTATCGATTGTATTCCATAAAATACTAGGTTGTTAAAATAGAGAGTACTAACCTCATTTAAAAAATGTCAGCAGTTCTATCTTTAGATTTCTCTTTAGAACATCACTTTTGCAAATAAGGGCAAGAGGACATCAAACAACAATGAACTATAGAGTTCATGTATTCACATACTGTAAGTGCTCAATCCTTTAAACAGTATCTATTTTATTATGAGGCATTTTATCTTTTCTTTCAGTAAATATTTGTTAAGTTACATTTATGTGCCATGTAGTCATTAATCAAAGTGCTAGGAATAAAGCAGTGAACCGATTGTTTACTCTAGTTAAGAAAGATGTAACAGAAACAAAATGGGGGCTAGGGATGTTGTTCAGCTCCCCTGGGGGTGTTGAACCAATTGGAGTTCTGCCTTTTTATTTTTATCTTGGGATAGGGTGTTGCTAAATTGTCCAGGCTGGTCTTAAACTTGCAATCCTTTTATATTGGCCTTCCAAATCACTGGGATTATAGGCATGTGCCACTTGGCCTGTATATTTGAAAATTAAAGGCAAAAAGCATTAAAAAAAAAGGAGCAGGGAAGAGAGATGGGCAATATGGGGAGATAATGCAATTTTAATAAGGTGAATAATGAAGGCCATATTGATAAGGTGTCTATGTATTCAGCCCATAGCAGGATTAACAGACTGCAACAAGTGGAATATCAGAAGAATTTAAAGGAACTAAAAAAAGAAAAAGATACCAGAACTGTGCCTGGACTACTGCATTGGAAAAAACAACCCAAAAGCTCTAATATATACCTAGGCATTGTTATACCACAGCTCTGACCAGAGGATGTGATTATCAAACTTCATTTGTTAGGCAAATGAACACACTAGGTAATTTCCACAATATGCTCCATTCTATAGGTATTGGATGAAGAATTTGGGGACTACTCAAAATGTGATCATTTTTAGAAATGCAGAATCTTGGGCTTGGGGTGTCGCTCAAAGGTGGAATACTGCCTCACATGTGCAAGGCCCTGAGTTCTGTCCCTAGTGTTGCAGAAAAGAAAAAGAAAAACAAAACAAACTCTTAAGCCTCACCCTAGGCTTACGGAGTCAGAACCAGTATTTTACCAAGATGCTACTATGATTTATTTGTACTTTAAAGTTTAAGAAGCACTGCTCTAAGGTGGAACCCAGAGCTTTCTTAAAAAGCTCTCCCAGTAGCTGGGTATGGTGGTACACGCATATAATCCCAGATACTCAGGAAGCCGAGGCAGGAGGATCACAAGTTTCAGGCCACTTTGGACAATGCAGTGAGGCTCTATCTTGAAATAAAAATAAAATAAAGGGCTGGAAATGTAGCTCATTGGTAGAGAACCTCTGGGTTCAATTTTCAGAACCATAAAACAAAACAAACAAACAAAAAAATCAAACCTCTTCTTTAAACCCTCCAAAACAAAACCAAGAAACAATGCTGAAGAAATATATTTTATTCTATATTGAGACAATTAAAAGGTAATCACAGCTGAATATCAATAACCTTTCAAAAATTAAACTCCTGGGACAGAAGGTAAAGCTTAGTTGTGGAGCACATGCCCAGCATGCATGAGGCCTTGGGTGTGATCTCCAGTATACATCCCCCAACCCCCTTTAAATTCTTTGCGCTGAGCCTTATAATTTCCCCCCAAGAGAAAAAAACAAACAAACCCATCTAGTGGTGATTTTCTAGACCATAATCAGAAAAAAATTCAAGTAATAATAATTATAATAGTAGGTAATCATTATTAGGCATCAATACTAGCTAAGCATTATTAAAAGGTTAAAAACTTTTTTTTCCTGAATTGGGGCTTGGACACAGGGCTTGCTGCATAAGTACTCTACCACAGAGTAGACCCCAGTCCAAATCAAAAGAGGGATTCAAACAGAGAGTGGAGGAGATAGGTTGAGTACAGTTCTTAATTCTACTAGTGCAAAAAAGAGTGCTATGTTAACAATCATTTTAATAAAAAAGTAAATTTGTGAAAAATAAAGTTTCTAAAAAGCAATAATATCAATTCATTTTCTTTTATTTATTTTTTTAAATTTGTTGTTGTTCTCGTAGATGGACAGCATTCCTTTGTTTCATTTTTACGCAGTGCCAAGGACTAAACCCAGGGCCTCATACATGCTAGGCAAGTGCCATTGAGCTATAGCCCCAGCCCCCCATTTTCTTTTTGTAATACATTTTTTAAATATATATTTTTTAGTTGTGGATGAACCTTATTTATTTATATGCGGTGCTGAGAATCAAACCAAGTGCCTCACACATGCTAGGCAAGTGCTCTTCTACTGAGTCACCACCCCAGCCCAATCAATCCATTTTCTATTGTACTATGGTAGAAGAGTAAAGTACATAAAATACATAAGTCTACTACAGAAGCTTGTTACTCTGAAAAAGCAAAATATAAGAAAAAGGAGAGAGATAAAGTAGGATTTCAAAAATTCTTACTAACTGAATGAACTTGAGTGACAAAAGTCCATTTTGTTTTATTTTTTTTACTTATTTTTGTACTGGGAATTGACCCAGGGGTCTCTATCACAAAACTACATACCCAGCTTTTTGTATTTTTTATTTTGAGACAAAGTTTCCCTAAATTGCCAGACAAGACCTTGAACTTGTGATCCTACCAAGTCAGTGGGATTACAGGCATGTACCAGCCTGCTTAACTCTGAAAGCACATTTTATTTACTTGTTTATTTATTTTCGTTGCTGAACCCAGGGGTGCTAAACCACCAAGCCACATCCCCAAGCCCCTGCTGAGTTTTTAAGTTTTGAGACAGGGTCTCACTAAATTGCTTAGGGCCTCATTAAAGTGCTGAATTTGAATTTGCAATCCTCCTGCCTCTGCCTCCCAAGCTATTGGGATTAAGGCATGCATCACCATGCCCAACTCAAAAGTACATTTTACTTGTAATTTTATAAAAGTTAATTAAGTAAATTATTTTCTACAAACACATGAATTGTACCTTGAAAGAACGTTGTTATTAGAATAGATAGAAATGGGGATTAACCTTATTTCTCAATCACAAACTTTCTATCATGAGTAGAGTTTCAAAATATTAATTCTTAAAGCTGGAAATACTATAAAGAAATAAAATTTAAATGCTATTGCTTTTGTATATTAAATCTGTTCAGATGAACTTACTCATGCCATTGAAAATGGTTAGGATGCTTTTTAAAATCATAGGATTATTTTAATTAGAACCATTGAGTATTGATATTAGTTGGTAGAAAAAACTTAATTATTTGTAAAATAATACATAGTACATTTAACTTAAAATCTCATCAATAATTTTGTTATTCAAAGCTGATACCTTGCACTTTTCAACTTCTTCCTCGATTTTCTCAACAATAGCTGCATCCAGAATTTGTAAATCACAAGAAGAACGAGACAAAGTACTGACAGGATGTCCTTTTAGCCAAGTAATAATTTCTTGAACTTTCTCTGCACTATAGTAACAACAAAAAACCAAAATATTTTCCACATTTATTAAGACTTTGAGAGCTTATATTAGAGAGCTGATATAAACTTTCTGAGAATTGTGGCAAATTTATATAATTAATAATTAGTGAAATTAACTAAGTCTAATTATAAATCTAACATAAAATGGACATGCTATCTCTCAATAATAAAGAGTACAGAAAAAAATCAGTTTAAAATTATTCGCTGACATCAACAAAATAAAATTTCTAATGAGCTGTTAAAGGAAAAATGAAACAATACCAAACAAAACAAAAAGTAACATGAGAATTTTTGATAAACTAGGTGCACTCTTCAAGGAAACCATTAAATTGAATTATGAGTCAATAAATACCATAAATCTTGCTTACCCATTCTCATTTTCTCCAGGCCAAATGTCATCTTCATAGAACACATCCTCTTGGCTATTTTTGGCTATATAACTAAATAGTTCTGGTGCTCTAGTCAAACAAACAAGAAACAATATTGCTGTACAAACACATATGGCTCATTTCACATAAATTTTCAGGAAATAATTTTAGATCCTGAGGGGGACATGTAACATTACCAAAGAAATATTATTAAGGGACACTTTTAATAAGGAATAGAGACTGAATGATTTGAAAACCAGAATATACTTATACCTTTTAAAAACTCCCATGGCTGAGGGAGAAATCCCTAGACTTATAAAATACTTCAATGATGACTCCAATTCTTTGACTACAGTGACAGGAGATAAATGAACAAAAATAATATTTATAAGCTCATTTTCTAATGTTTTCAACAAAGCTGGATCACTCTACAATACAGCAGACCAAAATGGATTAATAGTTTCTTCTGATATTCCTCAAAACTCCATTTGTTTCTGAATAGTGCAGGACTTTCTGGTATATAAAAGCAGACTGAACACGTGACAGTAAAGTATAAAGAAGTCCATACATCTAGAAACACAGACAAAGACAGAAGCAGAGTATCTGATAGCATGTAAGAATTGTTAATGAAATTTCAGAAGTTGGAAACTGGGTGGGCGAGTATTGTAGGTATTCTTAGACAGGAATAAGCTGAATCCTAAATTCCCAGTAGGGGAAGTCACCAATAAGCAATTTCAACCAATCACAAAAAGGGTTCAAGTGCTTTTTTCTTTATGTTTATAAAGTGGGCTTAAGGCAAGCATCCTGTATTCTCAAAGTCTCCCAGTTTGTGAATTGTTACTTTGTATGCATTTCTTTTGCTTGGTTAATTTCCAGAATACCAGCAGAATACTAGCAGTCAATTTTGTCCCCCACATCCATATTGTGCAAGAAGTCCGGAGGACACCCTCGAGCCTTCTACAACAGAAAAACATAAAAACAATATAAGAAACAAGAACTACAGAACCCTGCAAAAACTCAGGTACACTTGAAGGTTGTAGCATGAAGTAAGATTTAATAGGATTTTAGTTGACAGTCATGAGTTGGTTACTTGCCTACCACCCCAACAGAAGACCTCGTCAAACTGGGGATACCCTAACCTTAGGTACACCAGAACTCAGGCAGCTGGGAAGTGGTGAAGAGGTGCCATGATGAAAACGGGATTAATGAAAGCATAAATCCTATATGATGCATCACTAGAAGCAGACTGTCTCTAGGAAGCCGACTCTGAGATGGAGATAAATATACAGGAAGTATATAGTAGAAAGTGCTTGTGGAATTAACATGTGTGGAAGGGTAAAGAGAGGAAGGAAGCAGAACTGGGCACAAGGAGAAACTAAGTTGTGATTCATTCTGAAAGAATTCCCTGGCCAAACCTATAAAGATCTCAAATTTGCATGGCCCTTCAGACTTGTCCTGAACTGGAGTAATCAGGTTGCTTGGACCTTTATCCTGCCTTCTAGGTCAGGCACTGGATCTGTGGCTACTGTAGAAAGGGCATGCAACTTTAGGAATTCTTGAAGAGGGTTAGCAGTTGGGAGCCCTCAGAATCGTTACTGCTGTGAGGGGACCAGGCCATTCAGTCCTGAAGAGAGATATGAGGGGTGTATCACAGTAACCACTTGCTAGTGAGGCCTTTTCTCCAGTTTATTTCCAGAAAACTAGCAGTTAGTTTTGTACCCCACATCTATGGCACAAAGAAAAGGCTGAAGGATATCTCTCTTGGAAAATTAGCCAAAGAGAAAAGAAATATATATGGAGTGATACCAGGAGGTCCTTTTTAGAAATAGTGAAGTCCTGTGTTATAAGCCCCACTCAAGTTCACTTTCAAAATCCTGAGGGAAAATGATCTCCAATCCAAACAAGCATAGGAGAAAAATAAAGGCATTTCCTGGCATGCAAGCTTTCTCAAAAAGCTACCAGAGTTAAATGCTTCATCAAAATGGAGTCATAAACAAGAAAAGAATACAGTGTAGGAGTCAGAAAAAAGAAGCCATCCTACACAGCGGAAGGTGAAGGGAAACTCTAGGATGACAGTAAAGGGAAATTCCAGAATGAGAGCTGTGCAACAGCCCTAGAGAGCAATCAGCGTGCCAATGAGGTAGGATGATGTAAGGTTCCAGGAAAAAGTCTTTAAAAAGAAAATGGAATTCAGAGACCCCCTGATCTGTTTGACAGTATTGAGTTTCAAAGCTATGGCACAGTTTAGGACTGAATTATTTATATAAACTTACATAATAAGCAAATAATAAAGCATCAGAGAAAATATGTATAAGAAAGGAATGTAATCATAATACCTCCACAAGGTCCAGCTGTGAATATTTATTTTATCATAATCAAATAAACCTTAAATATAGATTTAACTAAAAAATGTGATAAAACTCTAACAAGAGGAGGAGTATGTCTGTGGGGATGTGAGGAAATGGGGAAGACCTAAAGCTCAATTAAAAGTATCTCAGAATAGATGAATGGCAGGTCATGGTGTCACACATCTATACTCCCAGCAACTCAGGAGGCTGAGGCAGCAGGATCGTAAGCTCAAAGCCAGCCTCAGCAACTTAATAAGGCCCTAGGCAACTTAGTAAGATTCTGTCTCAAAAGATAAAACAGGTTGGGGATGTGCCTCAGTGGTTAAGTGCCCCTGGGATAAATCCCTGTACCCAAACAAAAAACAAACAAGCAAAGAAAAATTAAATTAGATGAATGGGTATGTGAAGTTGAAAAAAAAAAAAAAGATGTTTAAACATGGACCTTTTGATGCAATATGAAAGTAAATAGAAGAAACAATCTAAATTTTTGGATGGTAGTAGAGAATTGAGCCCCCATTCTCCATCAAAAAATATAGAATGTGTTGTGGGTATGGTGGTGCACACTTGTAATTCCAGCAACTCTGGAAGCAGAGGATTCCAAGTTTGAGGCCAGTCTCAGCAACTTAGTGAGGCCCTAAACAACGTAGTGAGACCTAGATCAAATAAACAAAACAAAATAATACAATAAAAAGGGCTGGGAATGTAGCTTAGTGGTTAAGCATCCTTAGGTTAAATCCCTGGGGGGAAAAAGAAAAGAAAAAAATATATATGTAAATAATGTGACTTTATTTGGAAACAAGGATTTTATAGAGGCAATCAAATTAAAGTGGAATTATTAGGGTGGGCTCTAATCCAATAAATAGGTGTCCTTATAAAGGGGGAAATGTAGATACAAATATAGGGAGAACGGTCACCTGATGATGGAGGATTGGAGAAATTTATCTACAAGCCCTACTGCCTTTAGAAGAACTACTGCTCTGTTGATATCTTGATTCAGGTCACCAGAACTGTGAGACAATAAGATCATGTTGTTTAAGACACTCAGTTTATGATACTTTGTTAGGGGAGTCCTAGAAATTCAAATATAAGAGCTCTTCGATAAGGTCAGAAACCAGGGGAACAATGGAAAGAACATTAAATTGTGAGAAGAGGCATATTTCCTGTAAATCTTAGTCACTAAGTAACTCAGTTAACATTTACTAAAGAAAATGTTAACATGTTTACAAAAGGAATGTTAACACAAATGTGCTGCTGCATATTTTTCTAAAGAATTATTTCTAAAACTGGTATAAGGCAAGACAAAATAAATAGTATGTTCCTAAGTTTCTGGCTATCTATTGGAATCTTTTGTTTTGATACTGGCATCTGAACCCAGGGGCACCTTATAACTAAGCTACACCCCCCAGCCCTTTTTATTTATTTTGAAACAGCAGCTTGATAAGTTGCTGAGGTTAGCCTTGAACTTGTGATCCTGGAGCCTCAGCCTCCCTACATGCTGGGTTTATAAGTGTCTGCCACTGTGCCCTGCCTAGTAGAATCTCGCCAGACACTTACCTCTCTAAGTACTCAGCAAGAAGTTGTTCTGCTGCAGATGAGTACATCCATTCACTTCCAACTTTCTTAGTATATCCAGGTACCTCTTCATTTTTTTTGTTGAATTTGAGATTTAAACCCACATTTGCTTTATGGTCTCCATGAGGACTAAATTTAAACCATACACACAAACACACATACAAATTTTAAAAACTTGTTCAAGCAGTGAAACGTTTTCCTTTCTACTCTGTTTTTATGTTCTGTATTTTAATTATGGTTATTTTCAATTAGCAGTAATTGAAAAACTAGAGGAAAGGCTTCAAAATCTAAATCAACAAATTATGTAAATAAATTATGTAGTTATAGAGGATAATGAAATAAAATGCAAGGAAATTTATTATTGAGGTTCCACACACACCCTATGATACCTTTTTTCAAGGTTCAATTTGTTAGCTGCTAAAAATAAAAGCTATCTTTCCAACCATCTAAAACATGCCGTTCAAGTAAAAGATTATCATCAGAGGAAGTGATACACGATTTTAAAAGAAAATCCACAGCAATTAATAAGAAAATAAATATTGAAATACTAGGCATTTAATCTTTATCATTTATTTTTCTGCCACTTTAAGTACATTTTTCTAACAAAAACTTACTTTCTCCTAGATCCTCTTCCAATAAAAATACTTCCTGTAAACCTTGAAACAAGGTATCCACTCACTCCAAGGCGACTGGCCAACACATATCCTGGGTTGTACTTTATAGAATATTTCTTTAAATATAAAAACAAAAAGGTCAATTATGTAAACACAAATTCACATTAAATATTATTTCTTTACCTTTAAAATTTGGAGATAATCAAGACATCACTAACCATTGGATTGTGGCAATATAAGGATTCTCATTTAGATCCATTTCCCCTTTTTTTTTTGAAAGGAACTGAAGGCAGAATTTTTCTGCTCCTCTCTTTTTCTCCTTAAAGAACAGAATTCCCAAGGATGGATGAAAGGGGGAGGAAATATACAGTTTGTGAAACTGTCTTAAGAAATAAAACTCTACTGTAAGTACTAAATGGCAAACTCCTCAGGCAAGAATTTTTTATAAACTTATTTTTATATTCCAAGCAGGGCTGAGTAAAGTACCATGGACAAAATGAGGCCTTAATAACTATCATGCTGAATTAAAACATAAGTATGTCATCAAAATAATTACAATTGAGCAAAATTAAAATATTTTTCATACATGGATATAAGTAATATTCTTTTCCCCTAAATACTTACCAAAGTAATAAGTATGTATAGTCTCATAATTAATAAAGTCAATGAAAATAAATCTAAACTTGTATAGGAGAGAAACCATAAAAATTGTCAAATTAACAAAAAGAAGTAACTGTAGCACATGCCTATAATCCAAGTGACTCCAGAGGTAAAGGCAGGAGGATAGCAAGTTTGAGGCCAGACTTGGCAATTTAGCGAGACCCCATCTCAAAATAAAAAATAAAAAGGACTGGGAATGTAGCTCGTGATTTTGCAGCCCTGTGTTCAATCCCCAGTACCATAAAACCAAACAACCCCTGCCCCCAAACAGATAATCTAATTTTTAACCAGGATCAAGTAATTTGCAAATCCAGTACCAACTATCATATACTCCTTATATAATGTATACAGAAATAACACATTAATTTTTATACATATATTAATTATATGAATAGCTTATATTCTCAATTTATGCACATATCTGATATGAATATAAGGAAATTTTACTACCAACAAAAACCAAATATCTAGAGATTGGTGAGGAATTAAATGAGCCACCATTATTTTATTGATCATATTTACAATGACCCCCCCCCCAATGAATAATTGTTTTTGAGGGTCTGGAATATAAAGTTATTAGTAAATTGTGTAAATATGTTAGTAAAGAATGTAACATGTTTTTTTTTTTTTTTCCATAAAGTACACCATTAGATTTGGAATAATACAAATCAAGTACGTATTCCAGAATAGTTTGTGTATCTACAAGTTGTACCACTTTTGTAATAAGCATTTGGAAATATGTCATGGAACACTGAGTTATAATAATTGGATGGGCTACTAGTACTTAATGCCCAGAGGTCAAAGGTGTCAACTGTCCTTTCATATACAGAAGAGTCCTATTTACATAATTAACTCCCCCACACACATAATTGTCTTGCTCCAAATACCAACAGTACTCCTTTTGAGAAATGCTGAACTATGCTATAATTAAACATTAATTAAAATTATCACAACCCACAGATTATAAAAAATTATATATAGCTGAAGTTGGGGTAGAGAAAGATGGAGGATTAAATAAAAATTAAAAGAAAGCATGTAAATAAGACAGGAAGTGTACTGGAGCAGATATCCTGACCAGCACTCTATGCTACAAGTGGGTAGGCTCTTCTGGATCTGGAAGCCAGGGATGAAGAAATGCAGGTTCTTCCACCATCACCAACTCCCAGAATAAAATTCCAGTTTTTCTGTCTGATGAGCCACTCTGATGGTTTCCTGACTATACTGTCTATATTTCCTCTTAAGTAGATACCTTTTTTTTCCCCTGATGAATAGGGACATCTCTGCTTTCTATATATAAAGTTTCCTCATGGTATGCTGATTCTTAATGTCTTAAATTTACTTCACAGGATATAAAGCCCTGGATTTTACCAATTAACAGCAAAAGTAGCAAAAGCTGGTTGATGGTGAATTAATTTCAGTCAAGTTAATTATTGGGTCATTAATAAAAACAAATGATAGCTATCAGAAACTTCACCCTATATTTTTAAAATTTTTTTTTAGTTTTAGTTTACACAATACCTTTATTTTATTTGTTTATTTATATGTGGTGCTGAGGACAAGGGCCTCGAACGTGCTAGGCGAGCACTTTACCGCTGAGCCACAACCCCAGCCCCAACTTACCCCTATATTTACAGGGTAAAATAAGGCCAGTAAACATTTTTGGAGGAAAAGTCCTAAAAAAAGTTGCAGTGAATTTAAATTCAGTTTCCCAATATTCTCTAGGATTGAGACTGTCTATTTTAGCTGAGTAAAGATAAGAACCTTCATAGAAAGGCCACTGGCCACTGTAACTAAAAATGCGGGCTTTGAATTACTATAAATTAATAAGGGGATTTCAGTGACTTTTTTTCCCTTAAAGATTTACATGAGGGCTAGGGGTATAGCTCCCTGGCAGAGCACATGTCTAGCATGCATGAGGTCCTGGGTTCCATCCCCAGCACTGCTACGAAAAAAAAATTTATTTTTTCAGTGCTAGGGTTCAAACCCAGAGACTTGCACATGCTAGATTTACATGAATTTTTAAGGACAGATTTCATATTCATTCTTAAAATATTTGAAATAAATTTTAAAAAGGTGGCAACAGTGTTCTAACATTTTAAAAGTTTAGTGATATTCTAAAGAAGCAACATGAACTACTATACTCACATGCTGGTTCTGTATTAGAGCATCAAGGTTGGGCTCACAGGGAATGCTGAAAACCACACGAATCCTACCTTCTGTAATAACATCACCTGAATCTTGAACCTACAGGAAAAAATAAAAATAACACCACAATATGTTTTAGTTTCTTTCGTTACATTTTCTACTTATCTGAATGGTATTATTTCTAAAATATGCTATGACAATAAAATGAATAGTGGAAATCCTCCTGGAATTTTTAAGTGGAAGTGATAATATTTTGAGTCCTTTTATTCTTTCTTTAATAGCTGTTAATCATTCTTTTTCAAATTAACTTATTTGGAAATTATTTCAAAGAACAAAAAAATTACTAAAATGAAAATAGTATGAACACTTACAAACATTGGCCCAGACTCATTTATTAACATTATAACAAAAATGGCTTTAACACTTGTGTACTGTGTACATTTACATACATGCAATATATTTCTGGTTCTGTATACATCATTTTTGCATTCATCTGTTTTTGTAAACAACATACTCCTTAACCTCTAAATATTTCAGTGTCTAGTTCCAAAGAAGTAACTTTTATTAAAAACCACAATAGTTATTAAATATATAAATTTAATACTTTTATAAATATTATTTTATCTAAGCTAGTGTTCATATTCCATTTTGTCAGCTGACTTAATGATGACCTATATGGAATTCTGTTCTCCCTCTTTTACAGGATCCAGGCTAGGATCAGACATAGCATTTAATTGTTTCTTTAGCATTCTTTATCTGGAATATATCCAGGACTTTTCTTTGTTTTTCATAATATGGACATTTTGAAAAATAAAATTCATTCTTCCCTCTTGACTCTGCTTTAAGAAAGAAAAAAAAAAAAGAGCTCCTTATTTTGGATTTGTTTGATGCTTCTTTGCAATTAAGTTACAGCCAGAATATTGTATAGGTGATATGTCTTTCTTAAGGTGTCATATATGGAGGTACACAAGGTTTACCTATTTCTCACTGTGATATCAACATTGAGCATACTATCAACATGCCACTCAGTTTCTTCACTGAACAATTTGTTTCTCTTGCACTTAATAAAATGTCTTTGGAGAGAAACTTTTTTAACCATGCAAAATACCTGTTCCTGATAAAAATTCTCCCTAGCTTTAACTTCCAAGGCTGTCTCTTACTGTTACTCAAAATGTTTTCATTCAAAATGTTTTTCCAACACTCACACTCTCTTCCATTTACTTTAGACACGATATGGTAACAAGAGCACTTCTCTTTCCCATTTATTTTTTTATTATTATTGAGGTATCATAATTCCCATTTCCCACCAGTGATTAATTCATTACTGTGTATAATTATTTTGGTTTTCTGTCCCAGACTTGGCCTGTGGGAGCCCCTTTAGCCTGGTTCCTGTGTTTACATGACATGCTTCCATTGTTCTTTTGAGCACTTCTTACTTTCTGGCATAACAAGGTATTCCAGATACACATCCTGTGTCTTCCCTGTCCCACACTTAGAATCCACTATTTCACCGAGAAGCACTGATGTTCCCCTTTTTTGGGATATGGTATTACAGGTCAAGATCTGGTTGTTACATTCTAATAGGTGGCTTTGCTTATTATTATTTTGAACAGAGCTAAAAATTTATGCATGTACGAACACACATGCATACACACATATTTTAGAAATCAAGAATTCACAGTGCATCTCCAAATCTGTCTCCATACATTCTTTCTCTCATTCCGTATTTGCAGAACTTTTTCCCTCAAAACATCAATATACATAGAAATCATTCAATAACCCTATAATATATCTAATATAATCTCATAATTGTTTCATTGATGTCACCACAATAAAAAAACATTTAAAAAAAAGATCAGGATTTGAATTCTTCATTGCCACCTACTGACCCTAAACTTCTCAAGACTAAAGACACGTATTCAAATACTGAGTTCATAACTTACACAAATGAATTCTTTATTTTTTCCCTTTGTGTTACATTTTTGCCTCTAAATAAAGACAAGTTAAATAACTCTATGAATTTGAAAGCAGGCAGAAATTTAATTAGTAGCAAATGTGAAACTAACTTCTCCAGTGCAGCCATAATATGGAGTTCCCAGCATAAATACCACACTTCTAGGAGGAAACAAATCATCCAGTGTTTTGATATTGGAGAAACGAGAATCAAAAGCTCGGATGTCCTACATAAAATGAAATATAAAAGTAAATCATCACAGTCAAAATTTCTATAGTTACACGTCATTATTTTTCTTATAAGATTATGTTTATGCTGTCTGCTAAATGTCAAATGTGAAGATTTTCTACATAACAATATTAGAATCTGTAACTTATCGACTGGATATACACCCCGCACTCTTCTAGGTACTTCACACATTTATTTAGTTCATTTAATTCTCAACGCTACCCTCTGTGGCAGAGACTATTATTAACCTTACTGTACAGATGAAGAAAGGATGGCACAGAAGGGACGAACCTTGCTGGATCTATGATAAAGGTTAATTTGTAAATTAGGCAAGTAAGAGAATAGAACATTTATAACAATATACTATAGTAAAGGTTAGGTGAATGTGGTTTCTCTCAAAATATCTTGTATTGTTCTCATCTTTCTTCTTGTGATGATAAAATGCTTAGATGATGAGATGAAGTGTGCTCAATGACTAAGCATTCAAAACACACTGTGGCCATAACTTTTGTAGTTTGAAGTGCAACACAAAGCTAACACAGACTTATTTTTCTGTCTTCACAATTTTATAGACAGAAGATTCATTTTTTACTATAATCTTAGCAATTTTAGCATTTGTTTTTTTACCTTTCTTATGTTGAGAACTTTACTTTTTCACTTAAAGAAAGCACTTTAGGGGGCTGGGATTGTGGCTCAGTGGCAGAGCGCTTGCCTCGCACATGTGAGGCACTGGGTTCAATCCTCAGCACCACATAAAAATGAATAAACAAAATAAAGATATTGCATCTGTCTATAACTAAAAAATATTTAAAAAAAAGAAGCACTTTATGGCTTCTCTTTGGCACATACTAATGGTCTTCTTCACTACTATTACATTTTGGGGTCATTGTTAAGAAAAATAAAAGTTATTGCACTATAATACTGCAATAGGTGATCTGATAACAGAAATGTCTATTAGTGACTAATGGATAGGTAGCATATTCAGCATAAATATGCTGGATAAAGGGGTGATTCACATCCCCAGGTGGGACAATATAAGATTCCATCATATTACTCAGAATAGTGGCCAATTTAAAACTTACGAATTATTTAATCCTGGCATTTCCATTTAATATATTTAAAAAAATTTTTAGTTGTAGATGGACACAATACCTTTATTTTATTTATTTCTTTTCATATGGTGCTGAGGATCAAACCCAGTGCTTCACACATGCTAGGCAAGTGCTCTACCACTGAGCTACAACCCCAGCCCTCCGTTTAATATTTTTAGACTCTGGCTGATTGACGGTAACTGAAACTGTAGAAAGCAAAACTTTGGATAAGCAGGGACTACTGCATTTAAATTTTTTCTCTCTTACCATGTCTAAGAACATAAACAGAAAAATAAATGCATTTTATGTTCATTTGTTTATTTAAGGTAAATATTTTTGAAGAAAACACACCTGAACTGCAATGGTAAAAATTAATGCTGTAATTTTTTTTTAGAGATTAAGTCCTTAAAAAATACCCCAAAGAAGCTGGCATGGTAATGCCTGTCTTTAATCAGCAACTCAGGAGGCTAAGAAGATAATCACATGCTTGAGGTCATCCTCAGCAACTTAGCAAGACCCTGTCTCAAAACAAAAAACAAAAGTGCTGGGTATGTAGCTCAGTGGTAGAGCGCCCTGGTTCAACCTCCAATACTGAAAACAAATTAAAAAGTCCAAAAGACAAGTTTCCACAGTGTACAGTGAGTGTCTGAGCATGAAATACTTTTCTACAGATTAATGTACTTTGCAAATTATATTAAAGAATAACCTCTACTATATATTGTTGAGTTAGCCTATTGATAAATATTAATGTCAGTCTTTTTTATACAATGTATAATACAGTATACATTAAGATGAAACTAAAACTTGATGAACACCTACCTTGACAATAGTTTGATAAACAAAAGGAAGAACTTGTTTTGACCACTGTTTTTCTAGACGAACTTCACCATTTTGACTTATTTGATATTTACGGCCTGTGAGTAACTGAGCATACACAACTGCAGATGTTTCATTTATTATTATTCCTTTTCTTCTCAGGTAACTAAAAGAAAGAATTAAAAAGAAATATAGCTATGTATAAGTATGTATATAGTCTAAGATGATAATCGTTCGAAACTACCAACTCATAATCAAATGTTTAAATAAACTTCAAATAAATATGCTAGCATTTCTGCATGCCTAACTAAGTTAATGCAGTATTTATTTTAGTCTATGGATACTTCTTCCACTGTCTATGTGGTTAAATGAGAAATGAGAGAGTCATAAGAAACTCCTGTGTTTTACATTCTCTAGGATGGCTGTACTTACAACACAGGAAAACAAGTGTTGGTGACAATATGGAGAAACTGGAATACTTGTACACTGTGGACGGAAATGTAAAGCGGTACAGCCGCTATGGAAAACAGTTTGACAGCACCTCAAAAAAGTAAACACAGAATTGCCTTAGAACCCAGTAATTCTCACTCCAGTCAGAATGCCAATTATCAAGAATACAAGTAACAATAAAGGTTGGTGAGGGTGTGGGGAAAAAGGTACACTCACTCATACACTGCTGGTGGGACTGCAAATTGGTACAGCCATTCTGGAAAGCAGTATGAAGTTCCTCAGAAAACTTGGAATGGAACCAACATTTGACTTAGTTATCCCACTCCTCATCATATACCCAAAGGATTTAAAATCAGTATACTACAGAGACATAACTACATCAATGTTCATACAGCTCAATTCACAATAGCTAAGCTATGGAATCAACCTAGGCGCCCTTCAACAGATGAATCAATAAAGAAAATGTGGTACATATACACAACGGACTATTACTCAGCCATAAAGAAGAATGAAATTATGGCATTTGCAGGTAAATGGATGGAGCTAAAGAATATCATGTTAAGTGAAGTAAGCCAATCCCCCAAAACCAAAGGCTGAATGTTTTCTCTGATATGTGGATACTGATTCACAATAGGTGTCAGGAAGGAAAAGTGGGGTTCACCTAATTGGACGGGGGAATGGCGGGGGAAGAGAATGGGAAAGACAGTAGAATCAACTGGACATAACTTTTCTATGTTCATATAAGAATACACAACCATCGTAACTCCACATCATGTACAATGACAAGAGTGGGAAGTTGTACTCCACCCATATATGTCAAAATATATTGTGTTATGTATAACTAAAAAAAGAATTAAAAAACCCCCCAAACCCATAAATTCCATGTCTAAGTGTATACTCCCCAAAACTGAAAACAGGTATTCAACAAATACTGGTAAACAAATGTGCATAGTAGTACTATTCAAAAGAGGAAAAAACCTAAATGTTCACCAATAAATGGATAAACCTATAATGGAATATTATTCATTCAGCCACAACCAGAAACAAACACCAATAGATGTGACAATGTGTATGAACTTCAGAAACATGCTTAGTGAAAGAAATCAGACATAAAAGGTCACATATTATACGATTCTGTTTATATAAAACATCCATAATTATTAAATTCATAGAGAGAGATTAGTTTATGTGCATCAGTTGGGTATTTTCCATCTAAAGCAAGGGTATGCAAATGACAGTAATGGACTAAACCCAGAATGCCTTCTGCTTTTTAAAACAAACCTTTACTGGAACATAGTTATCAATTACATACTGTGTATGGCTACTTTTGTGCTATAATGGCAGAGTTGAGTAGATGTGACACACATCATAAAGTCTATAGCCTGAAATATTTACTACCTGGCCTTAATGGAAAAGTTTGTAGGTCCCTGATCTAAAACATTTAATGGATATTTTCTTATCTCTTTTCCATTTTTTCCATTTAAAATAATCAGGCAGATTCTATAAACTCCGACTATACTCTTATTTCTTTGTGCTATTGTACTATTTGCTGGGAACGTCTCAGCTTTTTCTTTTAGTTCATTAATTTAAGTTCTAGTATACTCATATTATTATTCAGACCATCTACTGAGCTCCATATAATAATCATATTATTGAATTTTATGTTTGACTACACATAAATATATGTATTATATACTATATATCATATAACATAATACTATATAAAATTATTATATATACTATATAGTATATAACAATATATTCTTACATATATATTTCATAATAGTTTCTCTAAGATAAGAATTGTTCTGAAGTAAGTCACATCATCTTAGCCAGAAATACAAGTTATCTAACAAATTTCTGAAGTGGAAATTTCTTAAAAATTCATCTGTTTCTCTCATTCCATATCTGCATGTACCTAAATCAATTATCATGCTGTAGTTTGACCAAAAATCACATGTTAAAATCTATCCCCATCCACCCACTGTAAGATTCATGAGTGTTTTTGTACATGTTTTTATTCATTGTTGTATCCACAGTGCCTACTACTAACCCTAGCAGTATTGATACTCAAATATCAATATGTTGACTATATGAAAAAATTGACTAAACTCTTTATCTGAAGTATATGGATAAGTTTCTTTTTTTTTTCCAATTAAAAGACTCTTGACCAAAACAATATTCATTCAAACAATTACTAAGTACCTACATACTAGCCAAAAAATTAGAATAAAGTGGTCAAAAAAGCAGATATGTTCTACCCTTACAGAGCATACTCATTTAAGGTATCTAAGGAGAGACTTATTAATCACATAGTTTATTATGATTTTATTTATGTGAAAATAAGAAAATTCAGAAGATATACCTTATGGTAGGATTATATAATTTATATTCTTGAGAGGTGAAAATATATTCTACCTTTATCTCTTGAGATCTGTGTTTATATGCTTTAATGCTGAATGGTCTGTATACATTTTTCCTGTGTACTCATCTTTGAGTAAGGGCATTAAGCAAATTATTAGCTCCTGAATTATAGGGGAGAAGTATCCTTGATTCCCCCCAAATTTATTAATGGATTTTCCTACAGATTAATCAGAACTTGCTGACGTATATACATTTATAACACAATTTCTTATGCTGCTGCTGGTCTCAATTATTCTGTTTTGGTTTTGAGATCTCCAGTGTTTCGATAAAGAGGTGTTGTTAGGATGGGATCATAGGACACAAAGCACTGTAGTGACCTAGAAAATCAGCACTGCAAGGATGGAGGTTCTCAGTCTGGTTAGAAGTTACAGGATGCATTTCTAAACTGTGTAAGGATGCGGTAGAGGGAGAAGGGAGGAATAGGGAGAGAATGAATATGAGGAACAAAGAGGATCTCCCTTCCAATTTTTATTACTTACACATGGCCAAGAAATGGCCTTATGGTTAATGGAAATAGCACTAAAATTTAGGCAACACATTAAGTTATTTATAGCATTAAGTGATGATATTATTTCATTTTTTCCCTTATTTCATTAAGTATTTTAGTGACAAACTGGTGAAGGCTATAACTGCTGTGAACCAGATATTATTTTAAACTACGGCTCACTGTTTTCTTTAGAACACAAGATGAGGACAGTAAGTGTTCAGAATAACTACTATGGTAAGTGGAAATAAGTTAGAGAATGAATACATTTAAAATTCTAATTCTAGTATGTTAAATTCTTTTTACAACACTTACTGTTCTGAAATTCCTTGTACTTCTTTTGTCCAGTTAGATTGTTCTTTGTCTCCAAGATGGATTACTTTAGATGGTGGCACAGTCCTTCCCAAATAAAGCTTCTGTGTTCCTGGAGGTTCTTCTAAGTAAAACCTTAAAAATTAAAATACAAAGTATTTAATGCCAAATTTATGCTTTAATATAGAGTTCTAGCAGTATGAATGTCCAAAGTGAAAAAATTTCTATAAGTACAATAGCAGGAAAAAAAAAATAGAAAAAAAAAGGCTTTTTTGAAACTGTAACATATATTATAGAATAAGGACTTCTAAAAAATTCAAAGCTGAGTGCAGATGCATATGCCTTGTAGTCCCTCAGGAAGCTGAAACAGGAGGAGACCCCACGTTGGAAATCGAACTATGAAACAAAACAAGACCTCATCTCATTAAAAAAAAAAAAAAAAAAAAAACGCATTTATAGTCACTTCAAGAAAAATTAAATACATAGGTATAAATATAACAAAACATGTACAAGACTTGTATAATAAAAAACTAAAACACTGATGAGGGCTGGGGATGTGGCTCAAGCGGTAGCGCGCTCGCCTGGCACGCGTGCGGCCCGGGTTCAATCCTCAGCACCACATACAAAGATGTTGTGTCTGATAAAAACTAAAAAAGAGAAGAGGAGCAGCAGCCTGCTGAGAAGCAGAGCCGCCCCCTCCCCCTGCGCCGGCAAGGTAGAGGGAACTGTGACCACTGACAGAAAAGGCCCAGTGGCCTGCGGCGGGACAGAGCTTCCGATCACTCCTGCAAGGTAGGCGGGCCTGCAACCCACCGGAAGAAGAGGAGCACCGGCCTGCTGAGAGGTAGAGCCGCCCCCCACCCCCCGCGCCTGCCAGGTAGGCGGAACTGTGACCACCGACAGAAAAGGCCCAGTGGCCCGCGGCGGGACAGAGCTTCCAATCACTCCTGCAAGGTAGGCGGGCCTGTGACCCACCGGCAGAAGAGGAGCAGCGGCCTGCTGAGAGGCAGAGCCGCCCCCTCCCCCCGCGCCTGCAAGGTAGACGGAACTGTGACCACCATCAGAACAGGCCAGACCTGCAACCGACAGACAGAACAGGCCCAGTGGCCTGAGGAAGGGTAGAGCCGCCCCGCCCCCCGCATCTGCAAGGTAGGCGGACCTGCGACCCACTGGCAGAACAGCCCCAGAGGCCTGCAGAGGGGCAGTGCCGCTGCCTGCGCCTGCAAAGTAGGCAGAACTGCGACCACCGACAGAACAAGCCTAGCGGCCCGCAGAGGGACAGAGCCGCCGCCCGCGCCTGCAAGGTAGGCGGACCTGCTACCAACCGGCAGAGCAGGCCCAGCGGCCTGCCGGCGTGGTAGGCACATTGCCCCAATTGGAGGAGGGGCAGAGCCGCCGCCCGCGCCTGCGAGGGAGACTTTGCAACTATACAAGACCAATATAAATATATAGGGGGGAAATTCAATAGCACCACAGTTTCACCAAGTAGAAAGGAACGCGAACAGTATGAAGAGACAAGGAAAGAAAGGACCACAAGCAATGCAGGTCAACTCAACGTTAGAAGAGGTAATAGCTGCAGCACATGGAATGTCAGATAAAGAATTCAGGATATATATGCTTCAGATGATCTGGAGTCTCAAGGAAGACATCAAACAGCAAAATCAGACAATGAAACATCACTTCAACAATGAATTACATAAACAAATCCAAGAAGCAAAAGATCAACTATACAGGGAGATAGAGGTTATAAGAAACAAACAAACAGAAATCCTAGAAATGCAGGAAGCAATAAACCAACTTAAAAACTCAATTGAGAATACTACCAGCAGAGTAGAACACTTAGAAGATAGAACATCAGACAATGAAGATAAAGTATTTCAACTTGAAAAGAACATAGACAGCTCAGCAAGACTGTTAAGAAACCATGAGCAGAACATCCAAGAAATATGGGATAACATCAAGAGACCAAATTTAAGAGTCATTGGGATACAGGAAGGGACAGAGTTTCAAACCAAAGGAATGAGCAATCTATTCAATGAAATAATACGAGAAAACTTCCCAGACTTGAAGAATGAGACAGAACCCCAAATCCTAGAAGCCTACAGGACGCCGAATGTGCAAAATCATAAGAGACCCACACCTAGACACATTATAATGAAGATGCCCAACATACAGAATAAGGAGAGAATTTTAAAAGCTACAAGAGAAAGGAAGCAGATCACATTTAGGGGTAAGCCAATCAGGATAACAGCTGATCTTTCAACACAGACTCTGAAAGCTAGAAGATCCTGGAATAACATATTTCAAACACTGAAAGAAAATGGGTTCCAACCAAGAATTGTGTTTCCAGCGAAATTAAGCTTCAGGATGGAAGATGAAATTAAAACCTTCTACGATCAACAAAAGTTAAAAGAATTGGCAGCTAGAAAACCATCTCTTCTAAACATCCTTGGCAAAACATTACAGGAAGAGGAAATGGAAAATAACAATGAAAACCAACAGTGGGAGGTAGGACACTAAAGGGGGGAAAATAATCAAAGTGGAAAACAAACCATGTTTAGTAACATAAATAAACAAATATGGCTGGAAGAACAACCCATATCTCAATAATAACCCTAAATGTTAATGGCTTAAACTCACCAATCAAGAGACACAGGCTAGTAGAATGGATCACAAAACAAGACCCAACAATATGCTGCCTACAGGAGACGCATTTGATAGGAAAAGACATACATAGGCTGAAGGTGAAAGGTTGGGAAAAATCATATCACTCATATGGACTTCGGAAACAAGCAGGAGTGTCCATACTCATATCAAATAAAATAGATTTCAAGCCCAAGTTAATCAAAAGGGATAAAGAGGGACACTACATACTGCTTAAGGGAACCATACACCAAAAAGACATAACAATCATAAATATATATGCCCCAAACTATGGTGCAGCTATGTTCATCAAACAAACTCTTCTCAAGTTCAAGAGTCTAATAGACCACCATACAATAATCATGGGAGACTTCAACACACCTCTTTCGCCACTGGACAGATCTTCCAAACAAAAGTTGAATAAGGAAACTATAGAACTCAATAACACAATTAATAACCTAGACTTAATTGACATATATAGAATATACCACCCAACATCAAGCAGTTACACTTTTTTCTCAGCAGCACATGGATCCTTCTCAAAAATAGATCATATATTATGTCACAGGGCAACTCTTAGACAATATAAAGGAGTAGAGATAATACCATGCATCCTATCTGATCATAATGGAATGGAACTGAAAATCAACGATAAAAGAAGGAAGGAAAAAGCATACATCACTTGGAGAATGAACAATAGGTTACTGAATGATCAATGGGTTATAGAAGACATCAAGGAGGAAATTAAAAAATTCTTAGAGATTAATGAAAACACAGACACAACATATCGGAATCTATGGGACACACTGAAAGCAGTTCTAAGAGGAAAATTCATTGCTTGGAGTTCATTCCTTAAAAAAAGAAAAAACCAACAAATACATGATCTCATACTTCATCTCAAAATCCTAGAAAAAGAAGAGCAAAACAACAGCAAAAGAAGTAGAAGGCAAGAAATAATTAAAATCAGAGCTGAAATTAATGAAATCGAAACAAAAGAAACAATTGAAAAAATTGACAAAACTAAAAGTTGGTTCTTTGAAAAAATAAATAAAATCGACAGACCCTTAGCCATGCTAGCGAAGAGAAGAAGAGAGAGAACTCAAATTACTAGCATACGGGATGAAAAAGGCAATATTACAACAGACACTTCAGATATACAGAAGATAATCAAAAATTATTTTGAATCCTTATACTCCAATAAATTAGAAGATATTGAAGGCATCGATAAATTTCTTAAGTCATATGATCTGCCCAGATTGAGTCAGGAGGATATAGACAACCTAAACAGACCAATATCAATTGAGGAAATAGAAGAAACCATCAAAAGACTACCAACTAAGAAAAGCCCAGGACCGGATGGGTATACAGCAGAGTTTTACAAAACCTTTAAAGAGGAACTAATACCAATACTTTTCAAGCTACTTCAGGAAATAGAAAAAGAGGGAGAACTTCCAAATTCATTCTACGAGGCCAACATCACCCTGATACCTAAACCAGACAAAGACACTTCAAAGAAAGAAAACTACAGACCAATATCTCTAATGAACCTAGATGCAAAAATCCTCAATAAAATTCTGGCGAATCGGATACAAAAACATATCAAAAAAATTGTGCACCATGATCAAGTAGGATTCATCCCTGGGATGCAAGGCTGGTTCAATATACGGAAATCAATAAATGTTATTCACCACATCAATAGACTTAAAAATAAGAACCATATGATCATCTCGATAGATGCGGAAAAAGCATTCGACAAAGTACAGCATCCCTTTATGTTCAAAACTCTAGAAAAACTAGGGATAACAGGAACATACCTCAATATTGTAAAAGCAATCTATGCTAAGCCTCAGGCTAGCATCATTCTGAATGGAGAAAAACTGAAGGCATTCCCTCTAAAATCTGGAACAAGACAGGGATGCCCTCTCTCACCACTTCTGTTCAACATAGTTCTCGAAACACTGGCCAGAGCAATTAGACAGACGAAAGAAATTAAAGGCATCAAAATAGGAAAAGAAGAACTTAAATTATCACTATTTGCAGATGACATGATTCTATACCTAGCAGACCCAAAAGGGTCTACAAAGAAACTATTAGAGCTAATAAATGAATTCAGCAAAGTGGCAGGATATAAAATCAACACGCATAAATCAAAGGCATTCCTGTATATCAGCGACAAATCCTCTGAAATGGAAATGAGGACAACCACTCCATTCACAATATCTTCAAAAAAAATAAAATACTTGGGAATCAACCTAACAAAAGAGGTGAAAGACTTATACAATGAAAACTACAGAACCCTAAAGAGAGAAATAGAAGAAGATCTTAGAAGATGGAAAAATATACCCTGTTCATGGATAGGCAGAACTAACATCATCAAAATGGCGATATTACCAAAAGTTCTCTATAGGTTTAATGCAATGCCAATCAAAATCCCAACGGCATTTCTTGTAGAAATAGAGAAAGCAATCATGAAATTCATATGGAAAAATAAAAGACCCAGAATAGCAAAAACAATGCTAAGCAGGAAGTGTGAATCAGGCGGTATAGCGATACCAGACTTCAAACTATACTACAGAGCAATAGTAACAAAAACAGCATGGTACTGGTACCAAGACAGGCGGGTGGACCAATGGTACAGAATAGAGGACACAGAAACCAATCCACAAAACTACAACTATCTTATATTTGATAAAGGGTCTAAAAGCATGCAATGGAGGAAGGATAGCATCTTCAACAAATGGTGCTGGGAAAACTGGAAATCCATATGCAACAAAATGAAACTGAATCCCTTTCTCTCGCCATGCACAAAAGTTAATTCAAAATGGATCAAGGAGCTTGATATCAAATCAGAGACACGCCGTCTGATAGAAGAAAAAGTTGGCTACGATCTACATACTGTGGGGTCGGGCTCCAAATTCCTCAATAGGACACCCATAGCACAAAAGTTAATAACTAGAATCAACAAATGGGACTTACTCAAACTAAAAAGTTTTTTCTCAGCAAAAGATACAATAAGAGAGGTAAATAGAGAGCCTACATCCTGGGAACAAATCTTTACTCCTCACACTTCAGATAGAGCCCTAATATCCAGAGTATACAAAGAACTCAAAAAATTAGACAATAAGAGAACAAACAACCCAATCAACAAATGGGCCAAGGACCTGAACAGACACTTCTCAGAGGAGGACATACAATCAATCAACAAGTACATGAAAAAATGCTCACCATCTCTAGCAGTCAGAGAAATACAAATCAAAACCACCCTAAGATACCATCTCACTCCAGTTAGATTGGCAGCCATTATGAAGTCAAACAACAACAAGTGCTGGCGAGGATGTGGGGAAAAGGGTACACTTGTACATTGCTGGTGGGACTGCAAATTGGTGCAGCCAATTTGGAAAGCAGTATGGAGATTTCTTGGAAAGCTGGGAATGGAGCCACCATTTGACCCAGCTATTCCCCTTCTTGGTCTATTCCCTAAAGACCTAAAAAGAGCATGCTACAGGGACACTGCTACATCGATGTTCATAGCAGCACAATTCACAATAGCAAGACTGTGGAACCAACCTAGATGCCCTTCAATAGATGAATGGATAAAAAAAATGTGGCATTTATACACAATGGAGTATTACTCTGCATTAAAAAATGACAAAATCATAGAATTTACAGGGAAATGGATGGCATTAGAGCAGATGATGCTAAGTGAAGCTAGCCAATCCCTAAAAAACAAATGCCAAATGTCTTCTTTGATATAAGGAGAGTAACTAAGAACAGAGTAGGGTCGAAGAGCATGAGAAGAAGATTAACATTAAACAGGGATGAGAGGTGGGAGGGAAAGGGAGAGAGAAGGGAAATTGCATGGAAATGGAAGGAGACCCTCAGAGTTATACAAAAGTACATACAAGAGGAAGTGAGGGGAAAGGGAAAAATAATACAAGGGGGACAAATGAATGTCAGTAGAGGGGGCAGAGAGAGAAGAGGGGAGGGGAGGGGAGGGGAGGGAGGATAGTAGAGGATAGGAAAGGCAGCAGAACACAACAGACACTAGTATGGCAATATGTAAATCAATGGATGTGTAACTGATGTGATTCTGCAATCTGTATATGGGGTAAAAATGGGAGCTCATAACCCACTTGAATCAAAGTGTGAAATATGATATATCAAGAACTATGTAATGTTTTGAACAGCCAACAATAAAAAAAAAAATCTATTGAATATATGAATGATAAAAAAAAAAAAAACTAAAAAAAAAAAATAAATGTTAAAAATTCTCTCTCTCTCTCTTTAAAAAAAAATAAAATAAAACACTGATGAAAGAAGTCAACGATTTAAATAAAGAAATATATGTTCATGGATTAGAAGACTCAATATTGTAAAGATGTCAAAGTTCCTCAAACTGATTTATAGGTTTAACAAAAGTTCTAAAAATATCCCTCCAAGATTATTTATAGACATATAATAATTTATTCTAAAATTTATAAAGGCAAAGAACCTAGAATAATTAAAACAATTTTGAAAAAGAAAAATAAGGTCAAGAAATCACTTTACCTGATGTTAAGACTTTACTATATAATAATCAAGATAGTGTGGTAGACACTTTAAAATAGACTAAAATATACCAATGGAATAGAGAACCCAGGAAAGTTGCATACAAATATACTCAATTTTTTGTTTTAGTACTGGGGATTGAACTCAAGGGCGCTTAACTTCTGAGCCACATCCCCAGTCCTTTTTATTTTGAGTCAGAGTCTTGCCAAATTGCTGAGGGCCTCGCTAAGTTGCTGAGGCTGGCTTTGAACTTGTAATCCTCCTGCCTCAGCCTCCTGAACCGCTGGAATGAACTACTTTTTTGTAGTATTGAAGATTGAATCCAAGACCTCACATATGTTAGAGAAGTAGTAAGCATATTCACACCCTTTTTCATTTTTTAAATTCTGAAACAGAGTCTTATTAGGTTATCCAGGCTGACTCTGACCTTGCAATTCTCCTGCTTCAGCCACCTGAGTAGTCAGGCTCTAGGTGATTTTTCACAAAGATGCAAAAGCAATCCGGTGGAGGAAGAATAGATTTTTTACCAAATGCCTGCAGCAACTGAATATTCATAGGCAAATATACAAAACTGGATCTAAATCTCATACCTTATACAAAAATTAACTCAAAATTGATCTTTGATTTAAGTTAAAACTATAAAACTTCTCAAAGAAAATATTAAAGTCCTTGTAACCTAGGGCTAGGTGAAGAGTTCTGAGACTTTTTACCAAAAGCATTAAAAAAAAAAAAAAAATGGTAAGTTGGATTACACTGAAACGGTAGGAGAACTGAATCTGAATTTGATGATTCAAAAGGAATCCTCAAGATTTCACATAGAAAAGCAGACACTTATCAGAGGTAAAAAAAAAAAAAAAAAAAAAAAAGATCACACTGGATTGACTTTTCATCAACAACAGTACAAAACAGAATACAATAGAGAATATGTATGCTGAGGTAAGGAAAAAGGACCGAGCCTCTAAAATTCTAGACCCATGCATGAAGAAAACAAAAAAAGATAGTCTGGAGATGTAATTACCCAGAAAACAACACCAACCCATTTCTTTTCTGAAAAAATTTGTTTCAGAAAGTTTTAACCATACAAAAAATAACAAAAGAACAAGAAATCAGGACAAAAATGCTTATAGGAAATAATTAATGATCAAAAATGACAAAGAAAAACTTGTCTAAATGTTCTCTCATGAAATGACTGTGAGAGGGTGGGAAGACAGGAGGGAAGTGCTGGGGAGTGATACTGGCCAAATTATATTGTGTGCATGTATGAATATATAACAACTAATTCCACCATTATGTAAAATGAAAATTTTTTTAGTAAAAAGAATGTGGAGAAAAAAAGCCATGTAAGAAAAAAAAGTGACTGTGAACTTGAGGAGCTGAGCCTGGGTACAGGCCTGTAACCCCACTAATCCAGAGCCTGAGGCTAAGGCAGGAGGACAGTAAATTTGAGGCCAGTCTGAGAAAATCAGTGTGGCTGTGTCTCAAAATAAAAAGGGCTGGAGATGTAACTCAGTAGTAGAGTGCCCTGCTCAATCCCCACTACTACCAAAAAAAAAAAAAAAGAAGGTATGTGTTTTTAAAAAAATTAATGTATTATTTAAATGAAACCTGTGAAGAGCATGGTAAAAGTAAGGTTATATATTATTAATTCTTATCAGAAAGAGACATACATTTGCTAAATACTATAATGATAACCACTGATAGTAAAGAATTAGCATATAGAACTTCTAAGGTTTTAAGAGGAAAAGATGCATGTTTTAGATGCATGTTATTTTTATACAGAACATATTTGTTCTGCATTTTACAGTTTACAAAAGCTTTTGTATATACTCTTTTCTTTTATTGTTAACATTGCAAGTGAGACATTATTCCTTCTTCTTAGAAAAGAAAACTCAGTCTCAATGGGATTAAATGATTTGCCTAAGATTTTTATAGCTAAAAAAGAAAATAACATGCATCTAAAATATCTCAATAAATGTCAAAGTGGTTAAACTTCAAATGGTATGATTAGATTTTCACTATAGTGTAAACATTCTTATAATAATTTTATCAGTTTAAAAAACTGAATCAATCAAAGCAAAGCAAATATGTCAGAGAAATTATAAATAAAATCTTACTTAGTTTCGCCGTCTGATACAGCCACAACTCTAGCTTCTTCAAGGTGAGGCCAATTAACAAAAACAGACTTTCCAAGCACCGATGAAGCTATATTTTCTACACTCTTAAAGTAAGAGCAGAAAAATTAATTCATGCGTTAGGTCCAAGAGAAAACTTTATACAGGGAAAATTTTCCATTTAAGTGTTTACAGTTTTTGTAAAATGAACAAGGTTGGATTAGTAATGTTACAAAATTCTATCTACTAGTAAAATTCTATGATGCTAACCATTAGATTCATAAATGTTTTGCTTATTTTTCTAATAGGAATTGAGGAAAGTGAAAAGAACAGCAGAAATGTCTATAAAAGGGCTATTCATTGCTTTATATCAACAAATATTTAAAAAATTAAGAAATAGGATCTTATTTCAGTTTGTGGGAGTATAATGAGAGAAAAAACAAAAAACAAAAAACATTACACTAAAAGTCAGGAGACACGTTCCAAATTTGGGTTCTACTTCTTTTTTAGGTATAATAATCTCGGGCAAATCATTTAATCCCATTGAGACTGAGTTTTCTTTTCTAAGAAGAAGGAATAACGTCTCACTTGCAATGTTAACAATAAAAGAAAAGAGTATATACAAAAGCTTTTGTAAACTGTAAAATGCAGAACAAATATATTCTGTATAAAAAATAACTTAAGTAAAAATTCTAGTTTTAGGGGCTGTGGCTGTGGCTCAGTGGGCATATGCAAGGCACTGGGTTTGATCTCAGCACCACATAAAAATAAATAAATAAAATAAAGATATTGTGTCCAGCTACAACTAAGTTTTTGTTAAAAAATCTAGTTTTAAAAAAACTATATTATTGGGCTGGGATGTGGCTCAAGCGGTAGCGCGCTCGCCTGGCATGTGCGGGGCGCTGGGTTTGATCCTCAGCACCACATACAAATAAAAATAAAGATGTTGTGTCCACCGAAAACTAAAAAATAAACATTAAAAAATTCTCTCTCTTTAAAAAAACCCGTATTATTTAATTTGTACATATAAGTTAGAGAACAACTTTGTGGTGGAAACTTAAGTTTAAATACAACTTATTCCTTTTTTTTTTGGCTTATTATCCTTAATTTTTTAACAAAATTTTTTTAACAATACAGATGACTATTTGAGACTTTTTATAGTAATTTAATTTTGATACTTGAATATTTGTTAAAATGAACATAGAAAACAACAGACTAACTATTCAAATGGAATTTAAGTTTTGGGGCTAGGGTTGTGGTTCAGTGGTAGGTAGAGCGCCTGCCTAGCATGCATGAGGCACTGGGTTCGATCCTTAGCACCACATAAAAATAAAATCTTGTGTCTACCTAAAACTAAAAAATAAATATTTAAAAAAGTTTCAATATTAGAATGAGACTCCCTCAATTATTCTTTTTTAAAAAACATTTATTTCTTGGATGTAGATGGACACAACACAATGCCTTTATTTTTATGTGGTGCTGAGGATTGAACCCGGGTCCCGCCCGTGCTAGGCAAGCGTTCTACCACTGAGCCACAATCTCAGCCCATATTCTTTTTTTAAAAATATTTATTTTTTAGATGTAGATGGACACAATACCTTTATTTTATTTATTTATTTTTATGTGGTGTTGAGGATCGAACCCAGGGCCTCACATATGCTAGGTGAGTGCTCTACCGCTAAGCCACAATCCCAGCCCCCCTCAATTATTCTTTTCCCTTTTATACATCTATTTCTGATTTTATTCTTCAAGTCTTTCGGTTTTTTAAGAAAGTGTCCTCTTTTTCTAGATTTTTTTCATTTAAGATCTAGATAAAACCTTTTATTACTTCATATGGGGTCCTGTTATCATATACACCCTTTTCTGCTACAGTGGTTTGTCACTTCCTTCTCCATTAGCTCTATCTTCCTTCTTTGTACAGATTTTGCTGGATGTTTCTTCTTTACATACAGTTGTTTCTATCCCTCTTTTCAATGATAAACTTTTTATTCAAGGGCTTTGTACCTGCTATTGATATTTCCTATTTATCTAGCATTAGTCTAGTCTTTAGGAATTGAACTTCTGCCTCCACCAATCTACTGGAATGAAATTCTCTAAGGCCAACATCAATGCTCAAATTCAAAGACCTGATTTTAGTTTTTATTTTTCTTCTAACTTAGGAAACATACAGCCCCTGTTCCATGATTTTGTGATACTACTTAACTTGGAATCATTCTTTTGTATCTACGACTCTACTTTTTACTTTTTGTTCCCCAATAGCAATGGGTATTAAACCCAGGGTTTTATGCATACTAGGCAAATATTTTTACCAAGGAGCTACATTCCTAGACCTTTTAAATTGTATTTTGAGACAGAGTCTTGACAAGTCGTCCAGGTTGGCCACAAACTTGAGATCCTCCCAAGTAGCCAGGCTCACTATGTTACTTTTATTGGCTCTTTTGCACCCTATATAACTATGAATGCTCGGTGAAGCTTTTCTTTGAGGAAATGAGTCTCAAGGCCTAAGCTATCAATTTTCTGTTGACAGCTTGTAGAATCCTATCTCTCTTTGCTCAAGCTCCAGGCATTTAATTGTGAATAAGCAGCCTTTCTTATCTGAGTTTTTCCATCTGAACTACAATACAAATAAAAAATAACTTAATCATTTTCTTGATTTTTCTAAGAATGGTTCATAACTAGCATCATTCTAAATGTAGTAGAAGATAAGTTAATTTATTGCAGACAATGAGTGCCTTAGGGCATTAGGGCTTTTATCACTTGTGAAACATTGTTTAAGAAAAGCTGGCAGGCTGAAGTTGTGGCTCAGTAGTAGAGTGTGTGAGCCTAGCATGTGTGAGGCACTAGGTTTGATTCTCAGCACCACATAAAAAAATAAAATAAAGATATTGTGTCCATCTACAGCTGAAAATATTAAAAAAGAAAAGAAAAGCTGGCAAAGCAGCTCCAGTTAAATGTCCTAGTACCACTATAAATATTCATCAATAATCATCCTAAACCAGCAATTCCTCTTTTAACTTTTCTATCCAGTAAACTACAATTATTCCCTAGTAGCTTAGATAGCTCAGTAATATCTACTGTTTTCTTTCTCTTTTTACCCTCTGTATTTGAACAAATAATAAAACTTGTCAATTTATCTTGCTCATTTAATCTATTGCCACTTCCACAGTTTAGGCCCTTATCACCTAAACATAGTGCTATAGTTTCTGAACTAGCAAACTTTCCCATTTTCTTCCGTTGCTCTTTTGTGCAATTTAGTCTTTGATAATACCACCAAATTAATCTTTATGAAAATATTTATTTCAATATAATAGTCATGGGAAAAAAAAAAACCCTCCAAATTTCTTAGCCTGGTATTCAAAGTCCTCTATAGTATCTGGCCTCAATCTGTTTTTTCAACCTTATCATCCACTATTTCCCATAAGTCCTCCGTTTCAGTCAAGTTTAGTCCTTCTCATATCACATTTATTTTAAAATAAGAAAAAGTATTAAATAATTTACATTCAAAAAGGTTAAAAGAATAACACAATTTATCATATACTTATTTTTTACTAAAAATTCCTAGTTTGTGATACTTCTTTCAACTAGCCTGACTTTCCCCTCCTTTTCTCCTCTTTGCCCTAATATGTCTTTTGAACCTGGCTCAAGACTATTTTCATCTGCATGCAAGTCTGTACTTAAGGTTTGGCTTATATAGTTCATCTCCTTCCAAAGTTCCTGGAGTACATTTTTGCTCACTGTGCTACAATTATACAGGTTCTTAAACTGTTATTTAATTAGTGTAAATGTTTCTTTGCTTCATCCTTATTTAGAATGTGAACCTCTGGAGTATAGCACATTATACATCATTGGTAAACACCTTGGTGACTACAAACATTTTTATCCATAATAAGCACCGAATAAATAAATGATGAATGAAATACTTACAAGTTCATCTGATTCTATATTCACTAAGATTTCCAACATCATGTTTTCTCCACGACTGCTTTGCTGGAATACTTGAACACCACTTTTTTTCAAAAAAAACTTTAAAAGAATTCAAAGAATTTGATTTTAATTCTTTCTCCATAAGCAGTTCACATTATAATAAAGTGAAAAGGTTCTGAATTAAATAGCCACTGACTTTATGTTTGATGTGTTTCAGAGTTGGGAATCCGCAGAAATATAATGCCTTCTGGTCAACTCTGGTTATTTTGTTCTTGTTTATGTCCACACGCCAAGCATCTAATGATATTATTTTGTACCTAGAAAATAAATCAAGGTATTTAATTTAAAATTCAAACATTAGGACTGGGGTTGTGGCACAGGGGTAAAGTGCTCGCCTAGCACATGCGAGGCCCTGGGTTCGATCCTCAGCACCACATATAAATAAATAAAATAAAGGTATTGTGTCCAACTACAACTAAAAAATAAATATTAAAAAAATAAAATAAAATTCAAACATGACAAGCACAGTTTTTCAACATTACCTTAATTATTTCCCAAGAATTATTCTGACTTTTAGAGAAGGGAATGACAATTAGTTCTTTTAGACAAATAGAATACTGGGAAGGATATCCTAGCTTCTCTGTTGTTACTGGTCTAGATACAAGCATGAACTTTTCCTTCAGAAACTTAAATCTATACGAATAACTGATTTATAAAATAAAGAAAACACAAATCTCTATATTGTTCATGTCACAAAATCCAAGATGAAAAATTAACATTTTATAATAACTACCTTATTGTCCTACTTGCTTTAACAAGAGGAAATATTACACTGAGAGATGTTCACTTTATTTGCAACTCAACTACCTTCGGGATAGATTATTTGCAGGGAAGATAAGAGAAAAAACTCCAGATGAGTGGCATATGCCTGTAGTTCCAGAGACTCTGGAGGCTGAGGTAAAAAGAATCATCAAGTTTGAGGCCAGTCCAAGCAGCAGAGTGAGACCCTCTCAAAATAAATAATAAAAACAATAAAATGTAATTCAGTAGTAAATTTCTCTGGGTTCAATCCCCAGTACCAAAAGAGAAAATAGACATTTTAATTAAGAAGAGAAAACATGGGTCTGAGGTAATAAGAGTGAATCTTTTACTTTTCTTCTTTCGAGTTAGGTGGTTGGTGGTACAAGAGGCCAAGTTAGAGCATATCAAATAATGCTGGCAGCAGAGACACTGACAATGAAAAAAAAATTCAAAACAAAAATCCTCTACAGTGACTCAATAGACAGAGACATACATTAGGAAGAAAAAACATAAAATTTTAACAGAAGAAAAGAGGGTAGAATCTGACCAAAGTGGAGAAATGCAGGAACAAGTGTTAGAGATGCAAGTTGGATAAAATCCATTTAATTATGTTTTTTTTTTTAAAGTTTTAAATTATTTTATTTTATTTATTTTTATGTGTTGCTGAGGATCGAACCCTGCACTTTACATGTGCTAGGCAAATGCTCTACTGCTGAACCACAACCCCAGCCCTTGTTTTGTTTGTTTTGAGTCAGGGTCTTGCTATGTTGCTTAGGCTGGTGTCAAATTCTTGGGCTCAAGTGATTCTTCCACCTCGGCTTTCTGAGTTCCTGGCAATACAGGCACATGCTATCACACCCAGCTCATTAATAATCAATTGACTCTGTCATAAACTATTTGTTCATTCTCCAAAATAGATATTCAAAACTGTTTTGGTGTCAGAGGGCTCTTTGTTGTTGAAAAATTACCACATAACCTTACCTTGTACAACATCGTTCTATGGCAGGGAACTTTTCTGGCCATGGAGAAGGGTAGGTAAACTCTGTGTCTCTATCATACCAGCACATTAGACACTCACTATGTTGGTTTCTTTTCCTCTCTTCCTTTTTGAGGGAGTGGTTACATGTCTCCATGGCTTCCAACAATCGCTTCTGAATGTAAAGAATGAAAAGAAGGATTAAAAGTTTTAAAATTCCATAATCTCAATGTACCGAATGAATACTTTTTCTTCCATGTAGAATCACTATTTGTGTGCTTGAAAAACAAAATCTTAACTACTGAAACTCTTCCAATTTCTTACATAAAAATGTGATATGCTCTTCATTGCTTCATAGAGATCTAGCATACTGCTGCCACTGCAAATTCCTCTGAAACTATTACTCCAATAGTAGCCACTAAAGTGCAGATAAAAATAGCAGCAGTGAATCGAATTTCATTTTATTTTGTGGGACTATAAATTGAACCTAGGACCTTGCACATACAATATAAACATCACTGCACTAGTCCCAGCTCAAGAATTAAATTTTAAACATGAACTTATAATATCATAAATCATGCAGTATTATTTTTTTCCTTTACAAATTTTGCAGTGGCATAGCAACTGTCCACCTTTCTAAATTAACTTACAAATTTAACATAATTCCAATCAAAATAACAATAGTTTAAAATATATGTAAACTTTTTAGCCAGACATGGTGGTGCATGACTGTAATTCTAGTGATTTGATAAGCTAAGAAAGGAGAATTACAAGATTGAGGCCAGCCTCAGCAATTTAGTGAGACTCTATCTCAAAATAAAAAATAAAAAGGGCTGGTAGTGCACCTCTCAGTTCAATCCCCATAATGAAAAAAAAAAAAAAAAATTGCTTTTTTAAGAGGACAAAATTGTAACAATGTTCACATAGAAGAATGTGTGAATACTAAAAAAGAATTTGGGGGCTGGTGATGTGGCTCAAGCGGTAGCGCGCTCGCCTGGCATGCATGCGGCCCGGGTTCGATCCTCAGCACCACATACAAAGATGTTGTGTCTGCCGAAAACTAAAAAATAAATATTAAAAAATTCTCTCTCTCTCTCTTTTTTAAAAAAAAGAATTTGGGATGAGTCTTACCAGATCCTATCCATTATAAAGCCATTATAATAAAAACAGATGAGAAGAACAGAAAAGAGTTAAAAGTGAATCCCAAGATACTTCAAACATAGGAATTCAGATATTTAAGTAATGATGTTGTCATTATTGACTTAACTATCCAGTTATTAAAAAGACACATACACATAAAAGTATTAAGAGAAAATCTAAAATATTGATGATTTAGAGCAATAAGCTCTTTTTTTTGAAATTTTTTATTTGTTTTAATTAGTTATACATGACAGTAATTAGTTATACATGACAGCAATTAAGTTCTTTTTGAAGCAGAAAAAGTCTAACACCTTTAAGGAAAAAGATATTTTGAAGTAAAAGAAAGTGTATGTAACAGAAGATACTATATAACAAATCAGTAGACAAATGTGATAATGAAAACACTACTCTTAACATACAAATTTACTTAAAAAAAATCAAAAAGAAGAGAAATGAAGGAGAGAATACAAACAAGTATAAACAGGCAATTTACAAAAGAGAAAATGTAAAGGGTGAACATACACAAAACTACACTCAAAAAAAAAAAAAACAACAGACATATAGGCCAAAGAAACAAACTAGAGAGTGCAAAAATAAATCCAGGATTTATAGTCAACTAATCTTTGAAAGGGTGCCAAGAACAAACAACAGGAATAGGATAGTCTCTTCAATAAACAGTAGTGGAAAAATTAGATATCCACATGAAGAAAAATGAAACTGGATCCTTATCTTACATCATCAACAAAGAAATCAACTAAAAATGGATTAATGACTTAAATATCTAAGCTATAAAATAACGAGAAGAAAACAAGGTAAATCCTTCTTGACACAGTATGGGAAATGATTTTTTGGATATGATTGAAAAAGCACAGGCAACAAAAGCAAAAACAGACAAGTGGGACTGCAGCAAACTAAATAAAATGTCTGCATAGCAAAGGAAATAACAAAGCCAAGAGACAATTTATGGAATGGGAGAAAACATTTGCAAACTATATAGCTCTTAAAGAGGTACAATCCAAAAATATATTAGAAACTCAGTATAAATATATATCAACTCATTAGCAACAAAACAAAAACTGACAAAAATCAGCAAAGTGGGGACTAGGATTGTAGCTTAGCAGTAGAGAGCTCTCCTAGAATGTATGAGGCCCTGGGTTCGATCCTCAGCACCACATAAGAATAAATAAAATAAAGATATTGTGTCCATCTACAACTAAAAATATATTTTAAAAAAATCAGGAAAGGATCTGAATAGATATTTTTCCAAAGAAGACACACAGAATTGGAGTGTAGCTCAGTGGTAGAGTGCTTGCTTAGTAGCAGGCATTAGGCCCTAGGTTCACCTGCCCAAAACATGCATAGAACAGCAGGAAAATGAAAAAACGTTCAACATTACTAATAATCAAAGAAATGAAAAATAAAACTACAATGAGATATCATCTTATTTCTATTAGGATGGATATTATTAAAAAGTTAAAGACAAAAGCTATTATTGGTGAGGATAAAGAAAGAGCCCTTTATACTGCTGGTAGAATGTAAGTTAGTATAGTCATTATGGTAAACACCATGTAGATTATTAAAAAAATTTTAAAATATTACTGTTTGATCCAGCAATCTGACAAGCAAATAAATATCCAAATAAAATAAAATAATTAACTCCCAAGTTTACTGCAGCACTGTTTATAGTAGCCAAGCTATGGAATTACCCTAAGGGTTGGTCAACAGATAAAAGGAAAAGAATATATGGTATATATACACAATGGAATTACTCAGTCTTTAAAGACAGGAAATTCTGTTGTATGTGATAACATGAATGAACCTGGGGGACATTATGCTAAGTGAAATAAGACAAACACAGAAAGATGACATGTTGCATGATATTATGTACATGTGGAATCTAAGAAGTTGAACTCTTTAGAAGCAGAGCAGAATGGTTGTTGGCAGGGGCTAGTAGGGGTGGGGAATGGGGGCAGAGGGGACAGAGAAAGGTTGGTCAAAGTGTACAAACTTTTAGTTACACAGGATGAGTAAGTTCTGGAGTATGGTGACTAAAGTTAATAAAACCGCATTGTACACTTTAAAAAATAATTTCAGATTCACAAGAAGTTGTGAATTATAGTAAAGAGCATTCCTATGCTTTCCAGTTTTCCCTAGTGATAACCTCTTATATATAAAACCATAGTATATTATCAAAACCAAGTCCCTGAGATTATTTCAATACTACTATACTACTAATTTTCTTTTTAATTTTTTTTTTGGTTATAGATGGACAACACCTTTATTTTTTAAATTTATTTTTATGTGGTACTGAGGATCAAACCCAGTGCCTCACACATGCTAGGCAAGTGCTGTACCACTGAGCCACAACCGCATCCCCAACTACTAGTTTTTACATGTCTTTTTTCACTTAAGTATGTATTTTCATCCAAGCTTTTTATATCAATAGTTCTTTCCTTTTTTATTGCTAAGTTATTTCATTATGAGAATGCACTATGTGTTTACCCATTTACACAATAAAAGATATTTGAATTTTTTTTCTAGTTTGCAGTTATTCCAAATAAAATTGCTCTGAACATTCACACACTGTTTTTTTTGTGGACATAGTTTTCACTCTCTAGTATAAGTACTCAAGAGTGTATTGCTAGATTGTGTAGTCAATGTATGTTAAACAGCTTTACTAACTTCCCCACCTTACACACAAACAAATCAGCAAGAACATTCTGAGAAAACGGGGCAGATATTAAGGGAAGCCTGACAAATGCTCAAGCTGAAGAGGATGTGTGTTTATATGTGCAGACAAGCAGATCACATCTTAGCAACAGAGTTTGAGCAATAATCCTCCATGAGATAAAAACAATCTCTCTCAGTTCTGAAAATTCTATTAGTATTCTAATTGGGCAATTTCCACCATTTCACTTGAAAGAATGTACATTCTCAGTATAGTGTATTATAAATATTAATGAAGTTGAGTAGGTTTTTATTGAAATCTTTATCCTTATTTTCTGTCTTGTGCTATCATTGTGCTATCAATTCTTCAGAGAAAAGTATCAAAATTTCTACCTATAATTGTGGATTTCTCTCTTCTTCCTCAATTCTGAGTTTTTGTTTCACGTTGAAACTGTTATTAGGTGCATATGTATTTAGGATTTTTCTGTCTTTTCTTCCTTTCTTTTTTTTTGATTCTGGGGATCAAACTTAGGACCTCGCACATATTAGACAAGTACTTTATCACCAAGCTATATGTCCAGTTCCTATGCCTTGATGAACTGATTGCCTCTCTTATCATAAGAAATATCCCTGTTTATCTCTGGTTATATTTTTTGTTCTGAAGTTATTTACTTTGTCTAATATTAGTAAAGCCATTCCAGCCTTATCATTAATATACATTGAAGTTTTGAGTACACAATGAAGAGTGGCTAAGTCTCAAACAAAATATAAGTGGTGATGAAAATCAACTGCTTATTAACTTAAGTGAAATAATGTCTGCTTAAGAATGTATATAATTATTACATGCACTGACCTCATCAATAAAAGGTATTAATACCACAGCTTCCCATTCCTGTTGTTTTCCATTTAGATCAGTTTTAAAATCAGGTGGATAATATTCTATAATTGGAGAGTCTTCACTGGTCATCAAATGCTATAAAAAATAAAATAGTATACAGAAATATAAGAAAATTAATATAGCTTTTTATAATGTATTTGTAATATTTCCTCACAAGTTACTTTAAAATTTTTAAGCAAACTAAATTTTTATTTTTAGGTATTGCAATGCACTCAGTTGCTATATTTTGATTTTCAACTATAAGAATTCCAATTTCACTACTATTGTTTACATTCCTGTTTCATTCACTTAGTTATATAGCAAACACATCTTTACTCTGAACTTTATCATTTTAAAAACTTTTCATTCTGTGAGATGTAGCCCCTAAATTCTGTTTTTTCTTTTTCAGGCTTCATTTCAGAAGCTTCTACTAGTCCTCCATTAAAAAAAATAATTCTTTGTGTCCTGATTGATTCTATTAAGTAATATAACAACTGTCGTCCAGACTTAAAGAAATAAACAATTAAAATCCAAGAACTACTGAACCACTAACATCAAAGAGTCCAATAATACACATTTTTTATTATTAAAGATTTTATAACAGAGGTAGACAAAGTGTATAGATGTTTTAAAAAAAAAACTTAAGGAAATGAATACAGAAGAAAATAAATTTTTTTTCAAAGAAATAAAACAACATATTCCCGGCATGATATTCAAAATATTAATGAATATGGCACTTACAATGAGCAAATAAAACAATCATGGCTGTAATACACTTGCATGGTCATACTGGCCCACAGTGGCTGAATATCAAAGTTTAATATGTGCAAGGGAAGGAAAAAAAAGCATCAAAGAAACTTATAAGGGGAGACAAGAGGCTAGGATCAAGGCTTGGGTTAAGTGTCAGAATCTTTCTGACACAGCAAAAGGTATGTGTGTACATAATTCCTGGAAGCTGACCATGGAATTAGAAGAACGTACTACTGATACTCTAGAAGAACTAATGAAGTATACTTTCATGATCTGTGCTTAGTATAATTTTGCTGACCCTATATTCCTCTTGTTATGTAAAATATGTTAGCATTTCAGTTTGATAAATGAAATCTTTAAAATTCAAATATACATGAGGGTAATACTGCTGATAAATTATTTATTAGAGGAATCCATGTTCTAATAGGCAGCAGGTAAGAGAGAACAGGAATGAATGTGAAATGTGTAGACCAACAAGATAGCTTCTGATTTTACCTGTTTTAGTTTACTTTCTTCAGTGTATACACAAATTAAAGATGTGTTTAAAGGTGTTAAAAATGAAAAAGCTAGGCTCTAAATAGTTTATGAAGTTTTTTCATTTTTAAAACAAAACCAGCATTTAAACCAGAAATTACTTTACAAGGAGCTTGTTAAAGAAATACTGTATTTAAAATGGAAAATAAATGTATTTATCTACTAAATATATTTGTGCATTATTGTTTCTTAGATTTGGACAAGGAACTCTTAAATATGAAAAAGAACATAAAAACATTCAATTCTAAAACTCACCTGGGGCTGGGGATATAGCTCAGTTGGTAAAGTGCTTGCCTTGCATGCCCAAGGCCATGGGTTCAATCCCCAGCACCACCAAAAAAAAAAAAAAAAATCATCTAAAACTCACCTGATAGCATGTAGGAAGTAAATTTTTGCTAGCCGCTGGAAGTACAGCAAGAAGCTGTTCAAATGGTTTAAAAGGTTTTCCTAGTTCAAAATGGATTTGGAGTGTACTGATGTTGCGGATGTCTGACAGGAAAGGTGCATAATGATAAGGATAATACCTACAAAACAAAATGAGTTTTAAGCAACTAGAAACCATGAAACAAGTCAATAATTTATATAT